CTAATACAATTTTATTAACATTTTAAACTGTCAAACACCAAGCGGTCACCGGTGACTGCGACCTATTGTTCTTTAATTGTGTCTATAAAACCGGTACTCGACGAGTTAAACTGTCAAACACCAAGCGGTCACCGGTGACCGCGGCCTATTGTTCTTTAATTGTGTCTATAAAACAGGTACTCGACGAGTTAATATCTAAAATTAAAAAAACACTATACAACTTTCAAAATATTCAAATGCCTATCCAAAATTTAATTTTACCTACCAACCATTTTGATCCCATAACTGAAATAACGACGATGAGGCAACTCGTAACTTTCATAAAGTGTTAACACCACCATACGTCCGTAATAATGCGTAAATTAAATTTCGTTTTAATGAATCATAAACCAAAGGTATTTTGGTTGAGTCTCGTAAAGCAAACATATCTTTAAACAAACATTGGCGAGTGTTCCCCTTTACGTATATACCTATATGTAGGCAGTCCTATAATAATACTTTGGTAAAGTACAAAGTACAAACAATGATGTGTTATATTTTTAACCGATATTAAAGAAGGAGGTTTTCTGTTTGACCGAACCTAACTCCGGGTTACCGGTGCTCCAGGACGACGTGCAGGAGAAGGAACGGGGTGGTTTTAGTCAGTAAAAGTCTGACACTCCCTCCCGCCTCACCCAGGCGGGAGCAGTCATTCGATGATTTTCCCCCTTAAAAAAAAGTATTTATGTATGTATAAATGTATACATGTTTGTGCGCGATTATTTCTCGATTGGGTGAACTGATTTTGTTGCGGTCTTCAGAAAAGTGTGTGTTATACTTAGGAGAAGGTTTTAGTATATATAGTTAATCGAATTCATAAAAGAAGGTGTTGAAGTCGGTTTTCTTAAACGTTGTTTATGAAAGATTTTTTTATTTAATATTTTGTTTCATAATAACTAGTGCTGGGCTATTGTAGATGATGGTTACGTAAACGATAGTAAAAGAGAAATATTTTTACATAGCTTGTTACCCGGTTTATACAGTTATCTAATCGGTAGAAGATTTTATACACAAGTAAATGGCCAATCACGGTTGATACTCATCTTTTGGTAAACTCCAAAAACAATTATCTAGCAAAGCATAAAGAAAAAATCAATACTTGATATTACAGTAAGTCCGATGAAAATGCAATATCAAATGGGATATTATAATCTATTATACTATCTAAATATCGAGAACGAGTTGTCCAATAAGGTGTCAAATTATTAGATTATTACAGCTATGTAATAAGCTAACAATCTGGTGCTAATTACACACGATTGCAGAACTGGGATCCAGTATATTACGCTTATAATTGGTTCATATTGTACTAATAATCTAATAAGATAATTTGAATTACGGTAAGTCAATAAACAGGAATTTAAAAGCAGACCAGCAGATTCTTAGTTCGATTAGTTATTTTCGAGGAAGGAGTTTGTAAATGGTATTTGTCACTATTACATGAACCCATGTTGAACTTGTAACAAAAATAACATAAGCAAAAATTTTAACAGCTGAAAATGTTTATTAGATTTTGGCGTTTTTCATAATATATTGTCACAACCTTATCCAAAGCAGCTATCTTTTTATATAAAACTAGCGGACCCGACAAACGTTGTTCTGCTATTATGATATTTCAAGCGATAAGGGTATTAATAAAAGGTATGAAAGGAAAGACCAATAGCGCCATCTGCCGGGCTGATTGGTGAATCTAAACCATCCAGGGCTCCACTTAAACGCATACAGAAAAACATTTAAATCAGTCAAGCCGTTTAGGAGGAGTTTAATGACATACACTCGTACAGCAGAATTATATATGTAAAGATAGTAAATAAGAGTAGTATTTAAGTAATTGTAAGTTTTGTTAAATCTGTTTAGGGAATGATGGGTCTGGCATGGTCTTTATGTAACCAAAAAATTCTTCATTAATAAAGATTTAAAAAAAATTTATCAATACTGAAACCTAGATCGCTATTATACCTTTGGAAATATTCCTAAATATAATTAAAACTAATACAGACATTACACCGGAACGTGTAGAAAGCGTAGAAGTGCTTCAAATGAAAGATTATTACCAGAGGAACGAGCGAAAATCTCGCTCCGTACGCATATTCCATTATGCGATCTAATTAAATATTTTAGCCTTGGATTGGGAGCCGAGCTGGAGTGGGAGCTTTGAGTAATTTAGAGGGTGCTCCCAATGTTATTTAGGAGACATTGAGTGTGTTATATTTAGATAACTGACTCTTTTGTCGAGTGGTCCTAAGTTGAGATTTCGATTAAAAGGTGTTAATTCAATTTTCGAGTCTGGATTACCAATGAATTTTGTAATTGCTTTCGAGTTTAATAGTACTTTGCTTTGTCATTTCTACTTTTAACTTCTTCCTGATTTAAGCTCAATGCACTTACTTTTTTTATTCTTCATTATTCGACGTCATGACTTGCCTCACTATTTATTACATTATGCTACTTTCAAAAACACTTGGCCAAAAAGTCGTAAGTGAAAACAATTCTAAATTGAACCTTATATTAAGTTTCACAAACAGAAATTCAGTCTAAAAGGCTAGTAAGCCAAATAATAATTGGATATAGCAGATTTATTTTCAGTGCTAAACTTTAGATTTTATTTCTTGTCTCACCAAATATTATACCTGCAATAAATTTGCTCACATCCATGGAACGTTTTGTTTTGTTCTTCCTAAGTTCATCGTATTTCATGTATTGTCAAAAGTTAGGAACATATGAGTGTGTTGCTAATAATTTGCCTTAGTGCGTTGATAACTTGTGCCAAACTATTTCTTTTTTGAATTCACATTCGTTGTTTGTGTAATGTTCAGATTTCGCATTGAAGTTATTTGTAAACTTATGTATTTTCTGATAATGGCTGGAATAGTAATTCAGTAAAAACTGCTGTATTAATTAGTCAATGAATACAGTAGCAATGTTTCTATTTTAATTGTTATCTAGTTTAGCCCTTCCTCTGCCAAAAATGTGAATAGACATTAGACATATTTTACATCGCTATTCTTCATATATAGGGTGGCCGGGCAGATGCTAGGTTAGACTATGTTAGTCAGTTATGACAAAACAACTCAACCAGAAACGTCCAACAGAATGAGAAAAAATCGAGAACTGTTGTTAGGTGAAAATTACGAAAGAAATGATTAAAAACATTTTAACTCGATAACTACGCAAAATCGTAAAACATACATGCATGGGGTGATTTGGATACTCCTCATCATAAAGTATCTCAATGTTACGCTTGAAGGTCAACTGCCCAGCTACCCTATATGTCGCGGAGAACCTAACGAGTAATCGGGGCTCCGGCTCGACGTGCAGGAGAAGGAACGGGGTGGTTTGCAGGCCGTCGGCAGGGAGTGTCAGACTCTTACTGTTAGTTAGTAAGAGCCCTCCCGCCTCACCCAGGCGGGAGCAGTCATTCGATGATTTTCCCCCCTTAAAAAAAAAGCCACCCTATATATATTAATACGCAAATAAAATGTGTAACCTACCTTACATATCTAGTATTTTCTAAAATGTACATTTTTTTAGACATATACAAAAGTTGGTAAATAAAACAATGACCCTAGAGAACAGAAAAGGTCCGCCATCTGTCACTCTGGGATAGCGAAATCTCGACTAAAATAACAGCTGACATTTTTATAATCATATTTGATCTGTAATATAACAAATAAAGTATTTCATATGAAAAGTTACAGAATATTTTTCATGTTTATTTACGGTACAATGCATTTCATATTATTTTAATTTAAATAGGTATATTCTGTGCCAGTAAAGTACAAATATTTACTGCCACATTTTCCTCGAGCCAGGAGTTAAAATTAAAGCTCTAACTCATATGGGTACGTACACCGCATTTGTAACAGAAAAATCTAATATCGCTGTTATTGGCGCCCAACGTGGGACACAAAATACTTCAATGCCCACAAATGAAGCCATCTCCACGGAGGCCTGGAACTTCAACGAAAGCACAAAACAAACCTCCTTCGGGAAATCAGATCTATATATTCAGTTACTTGCTTTATAACATTACTTAAAAAATAATAAGGACCTACAAATAGAAAATCTCATTACGCCCCAGGGCACGGCCGACATTATCATTTAGGCAATCTTTTAAGGCGTCATGTAAACTCAATTTCGTATAATGTGGTACTTGTTGACGTCTGCTCATTCTCGAAGGAAGGAATTAGGGATAAATTAATGAAGACACGAAAGACAAATTGTTTTATCAAGAAGCAAATACAAGTACCAACTGAATTATCTACTTTAGTGTTTAAACTCTTGATTCTTATGAAGATCTTGAGAATTAAGATTAAAGCAAATGTTCAAATTCGTGTTTGTTCGGGTAGAGACTAAGTTAGAAGTGACCAAGTAGCATTTTCGCCCGCAGCACCAGATTTTCAATAGATCCTGCCGCGGCCGGAACCTAATAAGCCACCGCAATTTCCGACGTTCACCGACCGGTTTCAGTCAACAACACTGTTTTATGCCGCCTTCAACGAAAGTACTTTTGGAAATGTCTTCCAACGGACTTTAGTTTGAGAAAAAAGTTCCGAAGGAAAAAGGCTAATAGACATTTGGACGGTTTCAGCCCCAATTTATGTAGGTAGAGTTTTAATTAAGTCCGTTAAATTATTTCTAAGCTCAGGGGCTCTAAGAAAACCTATTCTGTTTTATAATACGATACTAGTATTTGATTAATTTATTTAATTAAATAATTATATTATAATAAACAAAAAAAATGTACTTGGAATCATTTTAGAACTCGATGATCAATCGACGATAACTACCATTATTTTTAAGTTGGATTTTCAGTTCTATTACAAAAATTGAAACCCTATGAATCAAATCCAATTTGGATATAAATACAATAAAATAAAACATGCATCTTTCACATGACGTTTATAATAGAAACTAGGATCCAACAAAGAATGGAATAAATTGATATATTTTTGTTACAGGAATGGAACGACTACAAATTGAAGTGGAACCCTGACGACTACGGCGGTGTGGAGACTCTGCATGTACCTTCTGAACACATATGGTTGCCTGATATTGTATTGTACAATAAGTGAGTTCGATATCACATATTTCGTTACATTTTTGTACCTTTTATAAGTGGTTGTAGTTTTTGTTCACAATTTTGTTGTGTTTAATGATCTCGTATAATATGCTTAGCAGTGCTTTTTTACTTTTTTTATGTATATTTTGTGTGACTGTATTTAGTAGGTACATAGTATCTTTAGTAATTAAAGATCGCATTGCAAAGGGTATCTCATTATCTTAAGTTGAATCTAGAGTAATCGTAACATTTTAATATCGTCGCAAATAATAGTACAATTCTGATAACACCATAAAGGTCAATAATATAAAAAGAGTGGTCAGTTTTCATATACCTCTACTTAAAATCATTGTCATAGTGGCAAAATCCATCGTATTTAAAAATTGATGAATCTTACAAAAGTCCTTTGACAAATGATGATAGCAAAATCGTCGAAAAAAATAGCCAACATCAACTTTAAAGAGTTTAGTTCAAAGTCCATTATTCTTCAAGCAACATGACATTAAAACGAACTCACTCAAGTTCTTACAAATACCAGCTATAAACATTAATCTCACTCTGGACCCATTTACTTAAGAAACAATTTAAGAAAACTTTCAAACGAACCTGTGTCTCCTAACTTTGACACTATTCCACTCCCTCCAATGAAACTTAACTTTTCTCTCTTGTATAAACTCTTTTTATAAAAGCCTTATCTCTTCATTTCCGGTTTGCGGGCAAAAGTCCCATTAGGTTGCATTATCGTGACATCTTGACGAGACTCGCCGTAGAATCTGATGCTGAGACAAAAGTATGTGGCTAATCTCAAGTTGTGCTTACTGGAATAGTATATTCTGGTGTAATGTTTTCTTTGTTTTGTTTTGGCTATTGTTACCAATGTTCGACACAAATGTTGGTGGAAGTTTTGTGGCTGTTTGGTTATGAATATTATCATCCGTTTCTAATGAATTTTGGATTTGGTTGGATCTGCTTTATGAAGCCTTTTCTGTTTCTTTGTGTTTCAAAAGCAATGCACTATATTTGATGATTTCTAAAATGAAATCTAACTTTATTAAAAGGCAGATAATGGTGCACATCAATACGGTTTACCCATAAACGATAAACCGGTAGAGATAGAAATTTTGTTACCATAATCGAGAACTGCAGTCGGAGATATTTTCCCAACACGCAATCAATAACCGCACTTTTGGCAGACGACACCAAAATCGATCCTAACGCCCCCTATCGCAACGCGACCGCCTTAAAAATCTTTATACTTGCAACGCTAACCATTATCAGTGGCAGTTCACCGCATTTATATGCATTAACGCCACGTAAGCTCTCAACTTTGCAGGATTTAAGAGCTTATCTTCATTCAAATAAAGCTGAATTTTGAATAGGTAGTCGGTATCTAGGTGAGGCAGAGAATGCGCCCGAAGTTGGCCAGGCGGAAGGCACGATAAGTGCGGGCTTTAATCTAAATAGCATCAAGGTGGAGTATCGAACTAAACACGCCACGGTAAGCATTCATTATTAACAAACGCTAGACATTGAAATCTCTTTGATGCAGTTTAGTCTCAATTTGTATCAAAGGAAACGGATTTCTAAATTGAATTGAAACTCTGAAGCCTCATCAACATTAATCATGTTGAGATCTTTCTCTTTAATAAAAAGTAAGTTTCCGTTGCCCTTTTAGACGTAGATAATTTTTTTTTTTTTGTATTTTGTCTTCTTGTGTTTATAGTTTTTTTTTGTTAGTTACATGGCTCTTAAGCCACGCAGGCATAAGTTTTGCTGGCATTATTACTGTTCTTATTTTTAGAGAACCGTAAAATGATCATTGGGACGTTCTTTATCATTTGATTAGCTCTTTAGTCTAAGAACCTTTGTGTAGGGCAGCGTTAAAAAATGTAATGACATTACTTATTGCTTTTGCAGCTCTACTGGATTTTGTTTGCTTATAAATATGTTTAGTAGAATGATGAGTTTACTAATATCATAATCATGTAATATTATTATTGTAACTTTATTGAAAATTAGTTTCAATAAAGGAGTTTCATTTAGACATCCAGTAAAAAAGATGACAATGTAGGTATTTTTGCGTCCATCTACAGTATCCAACCACACTAATTTAATGTCCACAAAAATTCTATCAACATTTTTGTCAATTTCACTCTTGTCTTATTGCCATTTAAATATTCTGACGCTAGAGGAGTTGCCCTAATTTCTAAATTGACAGTCGTAGTTGATTGCTTAATTCTATCTATTTTATTTAACGATTCATACCGTTCTGGGAGTTTTTTACCGTCTCCTGTGTAGTTAATTTGCAATTTAGTTATAATTTTAGTACTTGTTTTAATATTTAGTTCATATTTTTATTTTTAGGTTTCATAACTATTTAGCTTTGTTATTATATTATTATTGTATTATATAACAGCTAGTTTATGTCGGTCAATTTGTTGTATTGATAACAACAATGATTGTCATCAGATAGCGACATTCTAGATTTTACGATAATAACTTTCCTTTCTCTCCAAGTTAATCTCTAAGATATAATCCTCAACAAATCATTTATAACTAACGTATCATTTACGTATATAGCTGTGTAGCCGAGCAGACATCTATAGTTACTAAGGTCAATTACTTATACGTACTTGTCAAAAGGAAAAGGAAAGTAATGTTGATAAATATTAATTAGAGCAACAGACCCATTCTTCAACTCACTGTTCAACAAATATTTTAATAAAATTCACAAGATGTGAATCCAAAGATTTCACAAAATCTTGCCCTGTTTGAGAAAGTTTCATAATAAGCATTCAAATTATCCGAATTGGGTTCAATTCCCGCTTGACACAAGTTTACAATTGGATTAATTTTGGATTATCCAAGTTTGATAGCAGGAACTGTTAAACTACGGCGCCAAGTTATTTTAACTTTGTAGTTTATTGCAAATGGTTTAGGTTTTCATTCCTCAGTTAGAAATTTGATCTATAAATAAGCGTTAAGACTTGGCTGTGGTTGCTAGCTCCAGGTGCCAGAGCGGATTTGCTAATTAGATGCAATTTGTTTTGTGTCTGAACACTAATAGTTATAGCATTCATTCAAAACTAAACTTTACCCATTGTCAGATAAATCTCAAAATTACTTTATCTGCACCAACAAACCCGATATCAGTGAAACCGAATCCGCCGAGTTCTCGAATTGGAATTTCAAAGCGCATCGATTGTTCACTAAGTACGGAATCTTTTTAGTACCTTCATTTGTATTCTTTAGAGTTCGTTACTTACTTTTAGTACGGCAAACTTTATATCAAATAAAATATAAATTCTAGCAGCTCTACTCATATATTAAGGTTGTTAGAAGCTCTCAGTTGACGTGACTGTAATATTTTTAAATTTAACCAAATAGAGGTAGCACTTTAATGCACCTGTGACTTCCCCTAAAAGCCCACTCCGCGAATATTCAGTGTTAACTTTATTTTTAATGGTACGGCGTTAGCTTAATGGAAGACAAGACGACCTATTTTACGGGACAATTTTCATGAATGCGCAAAAGTTGGTTATGACAAAGCTTTTAGAGGCTTCAACGTCAATTTTGTACCGACAACGAATGGTGGGATCAAATGGAAGGGTGCCGATTTTGATGTAGATATTTGGTCGAGGCTTTCGATTTTAATTATGCGAGCGGTTTGATCGAGTAGTTTATTAAGTTAAGTTTGCGAATTAATTTCTATTCTTTGAGATCTTATTCTGACGTTTATTACTGGTGTGTTTGTTCTATTGTATCTCAGGTTAGATTCTCGTATTAAGATGGATATTAATTAGCATTGGCTTACTATTACTTACACTCATCATAATAGTTTTCTACTTTTTTACATTCTACGTGTCTCTCTGTGTACATAGATCCGATTTTTCAATGCTCAGTTAAATTTTACAGGTAGGTATAACTTTGAATATTTAACAATTAAATCTTCCATACTAAAAACTGTGAAATGTCAATTTTATTCTAAAGTTAAAAATTAACTAATTATTGAGAAATCAGCTGTAATAGTTTCTCCGTAGAAAATAAACGGTACTAAAGAAAAAATAATTGTTTCAAAACGTCTATAAAAATCAAATGTAATGTTGTCAAGACGGACAATAGTAGCAATCAGATTACGTTCAATGTGTAGTAATTAGCATTGCGGCAGTAAATCAGCCACTTAAGTTTGACACGCACAAGGATCAAGTTGATATACTGGTTGTAGTCACATTGACTACTGACGACCACATAAATACTCGTGAGTGACATAAATACTACTGAATTGATTTCTTTTATTTTCGTCCTTAGATTGTTGCATTGTGTTTTGAACTTTGTGTTGTAAAGAATTATGTTGGTTTTTATTTGTATTTTTTTTCGTAATATTGTGCGGTAGATGTCTACGTAGAAATAGATAAGACTAATTTTTATTTTACTGTTAATAACAGAACTATACGACCATGTTCATGTACTAAATTGGAATTCAAATCAAATTGCTATGAAACTAATTTAATTTAATTTATAAACATCGATAAAGTTTAAACTACACTCAGGTTCTCAGAAACATGTAGTTACCTAGCTATTTATATTAATATTTTAATATAACATAACATAAGATCACGCTTTTTATCCCCAAAGGGGTAGGCAGAGGAGCACACAGACGTAACAGCCACTTTTCACTAATTATGTTATGAGTCACGTGTAATAGGGGGTGAGCCTATTGCCATATACCGGGCACATTTCCAAACCCCATGCTACTACTGAGATTTTTTTTAAAACCCAGTAATACTTTGCCGGACCCGGGAATCGCACTTGCGACCACTCGGCCAACGAGGCAGTCAATTCAAGTATTAATATTTTCTTCAGCAAATAATTAAAATAATGAGACTACTGTACTTGATGTAAATTATACCTCATCAAGAGTAAAGTAAGAAATTACCCTTCTAAAATGTTCACGCAAATTTCTAAGAAGTATGAACATGGATTTAAATTTATATTAAGAGCCGTTACCTTTGCAAAGTGAAAACGCTTTAAATGATTTCATTAAATATATTCAAAGCGACGGTAAATTTTTCTCCTGTACTGTTAACCTACATTTTTTTATTCACAGTTCAGAATTTTGTTAGATTTAAAACAATGTTATATGTTACGAAACATAATATACTTGGTGTATTACATACATACATACATTTCATATAGAAGTTTTAAATGAAGTTTTTGACTGCCTCGTTGATCGAGTGGTCGCAAATGCGACTGCCGGGCAAGGGATCTCGGGTTCAATTCCCGGGTCGGGCAAAGTATTTTCTCAAACAATCTCAGTAGTAGCACGAAGTCTGGAATTGTGTCTGGTATATAGCAATATGTTTTATCCCTATTACATGAGACTCTTAACATAAATAGTGAAAAACATTATATAGTGGCATTGAATGCCGCAACGTGCGCCTCGCCTATCCGTTCGGGGATCAAAAGATTGGTTTATTTATCTATTTATTAGGTTAACCAACAAGTATTAACACTATGGTCCGTGCAATAACTACATACTGGCTAACACAGCACATAATATGTTATGTTATGTCTTTTTAAGTTAATGCATACACCTATAAAAAACGCCTTTTAATTTTTGAAGAGCAAAAGTGACCAGTTGTGTAAGACCACATGGTAGCAGTAAACTTTAAAATAGGTTTTATATTATATTCATAGGATATCATAGTCTGATAACGTGTATATATAATTAGAATCAAAGAACTAACTACCCAAGAATATATAACCCATCTGTGATCCGAAATCAAAATCACAAAGTTCAACAGTTCATCATCACTAAGACCATTTTTAAATTTAATGAAACTATTTAAGAAATTAAGTAAAAACGCGGGTTACTCACGTGAATATACTCGCGTGCGCGGTCGCGGCGACGTCGCGCAGCTCACTCTGCTCATGAGGAAGAACCCCTCCGTGGTTCGAAACTAGTAGAGCTTTTCTCAGTATATACACGTGAGTAACCCGCGTTTTTACTTAATTTAGTATGTCTCACGATAGTTATTATTTAAGAAATCTTTATCCTAATTCAACAATTTCTTTCCAGCGCCGACGGTAACTACGAAGTGACAATTATGACGAAAGCAATTCTTCATCACGACGGTAAAGTAGTGTGGAAACCACCTGCCATCTACAAGTCCTTCTGTGAGATTGACGTGGAGTACTTCCCTTTTGATGAGCAGACCTGCTTCATGAAGTTCGGCTCTTGGAGTTACGATGGCTACATGGTGAGTGGAATTTGATAATCTTAGTCTATATATATGAAAATGAAACCCGTTTCCCGTTATCACGCTATAACTTGAAAACGGCTTGACCGATTTGGCTGATTTTTTGTTTGTTGTGTTTGTTATTGTCAAGAGAATGTTTTGTGACGAAAAATATCCTGAAAAATCTACTTTTGATTGAATTGCGCGTATGAAGTCACGGGCAGAAGCTAGTAATGATTTTTTTTTCGTTTTTTTTTTTTGAACTCCACGGTTGGCGCGGTGGCTGGGCAACCGGCTGCCGCTCAACGTGTCGCGGGTTCGATTCCCGCACGGAACAACACTTTGTGTGATCCACTAATTGTTGTTTCGGGTCTGGTCATTGTGTATGTGAACTTGTATGTTTGTAAACGCACCCACGACACAGGAAAAATCCTAATGTGGGGCACCGTTTCTTTAAAAAAAAAACGAAAAAAAAAAATGATATAAATGCGAAACTTTGTAATTTTGAGTATGTTTGTATAAGTTTGTCACTCAATTACGCCAAAACAGCTAAAGGGATAGGCTTGAACTTTGGAATAGAAATAGATAATGATCTGAAATAATACATAGGCCTCTTTTTTATCTGACAAAAACGTGGGCAAAGCTGCAAGCAGAAGCTAGTACTGACAGTATAAGTAATTTGTTGGTCTAATTTTTATATTTGACGGGCCGACGTTTGACCACTATCTTGCCTGGTGGTAAGCGATGATGTGATCTACGATGGAGCACTTGCTAATCCACCTTGATTGTGATTAATGCTTAAACCTTCACCGTATGAGAAGAGGCTTTTGCTCAGCAATGGCCACCTATAGGCTGTTGATATGATGTTCGTCTCAATAATATAACCCTTGTAATAGGCAAAATAAATACTTCAGGACAAAACAAAGAACAACTTCTTTTATCCAAATTGTTCTTACTCTGTGTGAAAACTGATGGATATTGAGTATTGCATTCCTTGTACCAAAACACTGCTTTAAAAGTAATCCCTATATGAACTATGTCGTTGTGTCCTATACCTCCTATACCTCTGTGTACTGCTGCCTATGCTCTCTGTACTGAATGGCTCACTTTGGCACATTTTCAACATCCATCCTAACATCCATGTATGAGCTATTATCGATACCGTTAGTAATTCAACAAGGAATAAATTGCCAAGGTATTATGCCATTAGGAACAGAATCACAATATAAACAGAATTCGAAGTTATATGGTTAACAGATTGTTTTATGATAGAGCGTAAAATAAGCACATAGCTTTACTGACGGACGGACAGACGTTCCAAAAGTACCTATGTGTTATTTAGTTTGAATTTGACTTTGATATTATCTTGGTTTATTAAGGGAAGGGAAGAAGAATGGTAAATTACTATAAGACTCATTTTAAAGACACATATGTATAAGCCGTTTCTGCAATCGGGTAAAAATGAACAGTGGGTCAGCTAACATAAAGTCCTTAATACAATATGTGGTATAATAAAAAAAAATCGTTTAATCTCGTCGTATGCTCAAATAACAAACGTGTTTAGAAAATATAAAGTATATAATTTATTAAATAAATCGTCACCTCTTCGGAACTATCAATCAATTGGCTGTAAACTTACAAAGACAGTTATGTTTGATACACAAAAACACCAAAATGCGAAAAGATGCCAGAAAATCCGACTAAGCACAACAACAATCAACACAAAAACAACAACATCCTCTCTCATACCAAGTTTAAATGTTGCTGTGCCCTACAGGGTCCATAATTGTTACTATTGTTTTTTTCTAACTGTATGTGTACATTATAGATGCAATAAATACTTGATTACTTGATTACAAACTCTACATCAAGGAAAAACGTCAAAAAATAAATCTTGAAGCAATAGAAGTCACATAAAACTGTAACATATGACGTCACGTTACTGCCGTATGTCCATTCGAATTTACGTTCATGGGAAAATGACGACAGAATGATTGAATCAAAATGTCATTTCATAGATTCACGACGAAATCATATTTTTATACATTCATCTGTAATACAGTCGAGGTAATATTTATTTAGTAGCTTACAAAATTATACGTGTAATAATTGGGGATGATCACAGGGTCTAAAAATTAAAAATATAATTAGTCCGTAAGTTAGGTAATGAAAAAATATTAGATTTATTTATTGAATTATTACAATACCTACTTAGATAAAACCAATCAAAGTTTAGGAGTGGGGGCTAAAACGTCATTTCTACGTATAAAATGTACATAGAAGTGACGTCACATGACATTTCAAATTAATATATCGTAGAAAGTCTTCGTTTCTGTAAGAAAATAAAAAATACGTGTCTAAGGATTTAAAATAATCTACCAGACGGACATTAAAATAAAAATTAAGCACATACCCTATTTGTCAAGTACCTATAAAGAATAATAAGATTTTAAATGTAATCTTTATTGAGAGGTAGTTAGGTTTCTAAATATCATAAAATCATAAGTAAACCTATTAGAAATTGTTTGTTTATCTGCAGACAGTCCATTATGTTAGTCATAAAATAACGAAAACGGGACTCGCCCTAGGCGCTTTACTTAAAAATCTGTTACTGAAAATTGATTTTGTACTACTACCTATATTTAAAAAATCTGTCACCGAAAATTGATTTTGTACTAAGACTCATTTTTTTCTCGTACAAAGTGCTTGGGCCCTAATAAAATTGTATGAAACAAAAAAAAATGGTACCCTAAACGAATTTCGTAGCGAAACGCTTAGAGGGAATGTAATCGAATTCTTTGCCTTTTTCAATACTTACTGTCGCAAGAGATATATTTGTTTCTGCCTGTTTATAAGTATTTAGAGCCTTTCAAGAGCAAATGAACGAACTTAAGCTGTATTTAGTTTTGCAAAATTTTGATATTCAATTGATACCACTATTCGTTCAAATACTTGTATCTATTGACTTGGCAGTGATTTTTAGACGTTAACAATATATCAAGCAGAGTAAATTAAAAAAAATATATATACACACATAATAACAGGTACCATACATAGTAGCTACTGTGCGCATTTTAGTATAAGTAACAAGTACATAATAATAAGAAAAAAAAATATAATACTAAATTGTGGAAAATTACTATAAAGTGTACAAGTACCACAGCCTTTATAGTCTAAGCTCAAAACAGACGCATCCATCTATCGCACTAAGGAGCCTAATAAATCTGTGGTCACCTACTTTCACATAAATAAACGTCTTGGCTTACGTCTGCGCCTTATATCGGCCGAGTTAAGGTTAACGGGGGAATTCAGGTAGCCTCTATCCCTTTCCTTCCTTATAGTCTTATGCGATAGCAATAACAGCTATTTGTAAAGCTTCGCGTGAATGGTTTGATTCCTTAATAATGGATAGCCGTGTTTGGGTTCTTCTGTAATGCTCCGGCTCCAAAGTGTGACTCACTCTTTCAATGTTTCTTGATGTCTTTATTTTTACATTAAAAAAGCTGACGACGTTTTTCTTTACTTTTCTAATAGTACTTGAACTTTATTTTTACTAATATGAATTGTACAATTTTAGGCTAAAGTTGAATTTAATCTTTAGAATAGTTTCTAACTCTTTCTTTTTTTAGGTGGACTTGCGGCACTTGAAACAGACGCCAGACTCAGACCGCATCGGAATGGGGATTGATCTGTCGGAGTACTACATCTCAGTGGAATGGGATATCATGCGAGTCCCTGCCACGAGGAACGAAAAATTTTACTCCTGCTGCGAAGAACCGTATCCTGACATCATCTTCAACATCACTCTCAGAAGAAAAACTCTGTTCTACACGGTCAATCTCATCATCCCTTGCGTTGGGATCTCATTCCTATCAGTCCTTGTATTCTACCTTCCTTCAGACTCTGGAGAGAAAATCTCGCTCTGTATTTCGATTCTTCTATCATTGACCGTGTTCTTCTTACTGTTGGCAGAAATCATTCCTCCAACTTCGCTAACAGTTCCCTTGTTAGGAAAATATTTGTTGTTCACTATGATGCTAGTTACATTATCAGTAGTTGTCACTATCGTGGTGCTAAACATAAATTTTAGGTCGCCAGTTACCCACCATATGGCCCCGTGGGTGCGGAAAGTCTTTATAGATTTTTTACCCAAAATATTATGTATACAGAGGCCAGAAAAACCGCCCGATGACGACGATGATAACGATAAACCAAGCGAGGTAAGAAACACTGAATCTGCTATGAATCAAACACAGCACGAAATAAGAACTGAACCAGAATGCATCTCTGAGAAAATCATCAATCATCCGAAATACATTGGTGTTTCACCAATACTAGAATAAACAACTTAGTCCCGGGCGTTTTAATTAAATTTGTAAAATAAAAGCTTTCACAAATGAAGTTCTTCAGAAGGAATCTCTTTCAGTACGAAAAAACAACACGGTGCCTTTTCTCATTGAGTTTCCTCCATTCAAAACATTTTCCATCGGAACGGATTCAATACAAACAACGCTATTACAGCGGAGTCGAAGCCGCCCTCAACAATAACCATTTTAATTGTCCTCAGCCGCGGGATTCTTCTGGGAAACGCTCCTTTCAACGATATTCTAAATCCATTGTACTCTGTGTGTATCGCGAAAATATCGCTTCCAGCCCAATTTCATTCCATTTCGATTTTCCTTTATTACTCAACGCCGGGCGGGCTTAACGAGCGCGCGCGGCCTCCGTTATTTATGTTCCCCTGGTGGCTGCGGACGGATCGCGCGATATATACGATGCCAGCAGGCACGGCCCGAACCGAAACCTCCACTCCGGCCTAATTGTGTGCCGGCTTAAGCTGCGTCGATACACTGGCCCTCGCGGAACGCGCACTGACGTTTTAATCTCCTGGCATTTCATCCGACGCCCATTATTACACTGAAACGACCATTTACTCTACTCTCAATTTCTTTGATTGACCTGAACTGTCTATTTAAATAAACTCAAACTAAATGTTCTTTTCAGATACTCACGGATGTCTTCGGCCCGGATGACATGGATGGAAAGTTCAAGGAATGGGGTTGTGAGGAATATGAACTGCCAGGAATGCCTCCTTCCCCTCCGCCTCCACCAGGAGGTGACGACGAACTATTCTCCCCGCCTCCTGGATCCCCGTGCCGCTTAGACTTAGATGATGGTAGCCCATCTCTAGAAAAACCGTACGTTAGAGAGATGGAAAAGACAATAGAAGGTTCTAGATTTATTGCACAGCATGTCAAAAATAAGGATAAGTTTGAAAGTGTAAGTACTCAGTTGCCTTTTTGCCAGTTCACACTTTGCACTTTCCTGACAAATTATTTTTTCTAGGTGGAGGATGACTGGAAGTACGTAGCGATGGTGTTGGATAGAATCTTCCTGTTCCTGTTCACGATAGCCTGCGTACTGGGTACGGCGCTCATTATATTCAGGGCGCCTACCTTCTACGACAACACGAAGCCGATAGACATTCTGTACTCAAAGATCGCGAAGAAAAAGTTGGAGCTCCTGAAGATGGGCTCTGAAGGTGACCCGGGTCTCTGAAATTCGTCTTACGTCTTCGGCCACTCGCCGCCGAAGACGTTCTGGGAGTTGATCGTCATGTGGTGGCACGGATGATCTATTTAAGACTCCCAGATGGGAATTACCAGGCGAGAACTATGTGTTTCTGTGCTGTGTGTGGTGCCAAGCGCCCGGTGCGCCAATGGACGTGTACACGCCGTAAGCGTATCCTAAGCCGTCTTTTTATATAGAATCATTAACTCGATGTCAAAACTGTCCGTCGATGTTCGATTGTCGCAGCGACCTCTAGTAACGGCCGTTTTGTGTTGACACCGGATCTGCCGGATCTGCCATAACTATTTTTATATTAGAATCGCTGTATTGAACGTTTATACTTTAAGCAAAACGTTTTCTTTTATAATAATCAACGGAACGATTGTTTTTCGAGTAATAATTTGATACGAGCGCACAAACATTGTACAGTTTATCTTTAGGTGGTGGAGTTAATTTCTTGCGATAGTCGGATTCATTTTCGAGATGGAAACTGACATGATAATGTAATAGATGACTAAATGTAAGATTTACTTCGAATAAATCGAGCTCAAATTCGTAATATGTAAGTATTGTAAAGTGGTAATATTCAATGAAACGTCGATTAGAATCAAACATTTATAATAATAGTTACGTGCAAACGTCCTCGATGAGAGCCGGACTATGTAGTATATGTATTAAATTATTATGAAATAAATTTGAATTATACATTATATAATATTTGATAAACTGCGTACTCGCGTAAAAATCTTAAGGACAATATCGATACTGACGAAATGTAATAATTTCCCTTTAGTAGTATGTCATAAGGGATTGTAGATACAGTTAGGTTAAAAGCCTCAATCATCAGTACTGTAAGACACTTATCATAATGCCAGATAGTTAGTCACATCGCGATCGTGATAATTCTATGATTAGATGTATTTGTGTAAAACAATTGACTGCCAATTGTAAAAATTAAACATTTTTATAAAGATCGGGTATTCTTAGGTAGTTCGATAACTTGTTTTATTAGATTTTTTAAACGGAGTGCCAAACCCACCGACGTGACAGATGTACAAGTTTGCAATTCTACAATGTTCTGTTTCCACGTGCGCTGACTTCACTGTCGTTAGAAGTATCTTTTTGATTCGCTTGAAGATATTCTGATGTATTTATAAGTAAAACGAATGCTTGCCGAAAATGTAATGACTGATCAATACACATCTTAAAGCTTAAGTTTGGAAGCGCCCGTTTGTCCGCGATCTACCGCAGCGGGGCGTGATGTCACACTTCTTCCGTAACCTTAAATATAAACAGTATTTTCACTATAAAACCTAGAGTACAGGGTAAATTTAGTACACGAATGTCTCCTGATTTATATTTCTCACAAATTTTCACTGAATGTAAAGTCTTTACTCACTTATCAGCACTTTACCACTAACACTATTAGATATAATAAATCATTGTTGAGGTTTGTGACTTTAGTACCTAAGTAATTTAGGTAACATTATATTAATTTGTACCTAGATTAGTCTCGTATTAGATGTTACATTTCGTTCTTGAAATCATGACTCACGATTCATTTGATAGTCATTTATGATTTGAGACGAACGCATCAAGCGTTGTTACCTCACTTCAATCCATTCTGTAGGATATTTGTAGCAGTCTAACGTAATAAAAAAAAATATTTCGAGCCGCGTATTTGATATGTCAAAGTAAATCATGATAATGTTTATTAGGTAATTACTTAGATAAAATTCAAAGTTATTGATATTAATGATGAATAAAATCCACAGCGAGCAGTTAGGAAAACAGGGATGGATAATGTAAAATAAATTAAAGAAAATCAAATTGTTTTGTGTGGTTCGTCTTCGTAATTATAAGTGTTATTGAATGTGTATAGCTGTTCGTGTCGAGGGTAACGCATAAAAATGGCTAGTTTAGAATTAGATCATACGTAATAAACTAAAGAAAACGGTCTAACGTATTAGACGTCGTGGAAGCTCGCTAAAGGTTGAAACATGTTAAATATTAGCAAGATACGGGAAACTGCTCTCACACACGACCTGGCTCTAAAGGAATTATCGGAAGGAATTGTAAGTTGTCCTCAACTATGCTGTTAATTTTTCTAAATGAATCACTCACGTGGATTAATAAAAAGTAGGATCGTGCTATTGCACCACCGAAATACACCAATTTAGTGTAATAATAACTATTTATCAAATAATGTTTAATTAAGTCCACCGGCTTGGCACACTATCCCGTATAAATCATCCGAACTTTAATTGTAGATATTTGCTAGATAAAACGGTCTGTTGTTATTTTTATATGAATGCAAAATGATGAATAGTTAGATTTTCTATAACACCATAGGGTAAAGTGGTAGGTTGGAATTTGACGTTCAGTGTGAGGTGTTAGGGGTTAAGTGAACAATTGTATATATTTGGAGCGTGAACTATGGAGCTAAGTGTAGATTGGATCGGGTTCTATTTGCAACGACACAGTATAAAGGGACTGTAAAGCTTCTGTTGGTGTACTGCAACATTTTCAATGATTTAATGTTGAATTTAATGAGCTATGTCGATACAACGATTTATGGCACATTTTGTGGTGTTATTTCATTCAGTGTTCGTGTCGGACTCTGATTTTTGTACTGGTTTATACATTTTGTATTTATGTATGTATTTACGCATATTTATATGATACGTAGATAGTTTGAGTACTAACCACCATGTGGCATGCATAGCACATTAATAAAGGAAATCGTACTGCTCGTAAGTTAATATTCTTTGAGCATTATGCCAATTAGAAAACAAATATACATAAATATCCAAGATATAACTGTTAGGCTATGATTCGCCTGGAAAACGCAACATTTTACCCTGTTCCTCAAAATATCTTAAATCTACGTATTTTGTATATTTCGAATTGCATTTATTTATTGGAAAAACTAATACACTATATTTATTTTTTCTTCAGCATATGCTTTTTTATAACAAGTTTTGTTACCTAATCAATATTGTAATGTATTACGCATAACATGCACTGAATGTATTCGTAAAACATTTATATATAATATATGCATATATATATGTGTTATAATTATAATATATTATACACTGTATAATTGACATTATTCTTGGATATTCTACAAGAAATATTATCTATGCACATGTATGTTTAATAACAACTTATTCCATATTTATTTTTGTCAATATATTAATGAATTTTAAATCTATCGTACTTGTGTATTTAATATAAAGTAATATATGTATATTATACAAGTCGGCTACAAAAATCAGAGTCAAAATTTAATTATTCAATAACAATTTCACATTTCAAACTTCGTCGCAGTTGTCAGTAGTGTACTCAAAGTGATCGCATCCAGCTCAATATTACATTATTTTATAACATGAGATCCCAGATCTGATTCTGTTACACTCTGTCTTTAAGACCTGTTTCGTTATGCTATATACTTGTCTCTCAAAAACTTGTTATTATATATAATATTTCGGGTGATAAACGGGTAATTGAACGTGTAGAATTCTGTCATATAATTGACACTAGATAGATAAATTAAAACAATAAAAACATTGCTAGTAAACACTTGTCAATAATATTAAACGTATGTTATAATGTATATTTAATGTTAAGGTATATAATTACGATAAATGATTAGCTTCTCAGTGTTTTTAGAGTTAGTCGACGAATGAGTCAACTTGGCGGCTCGGTGTCAGATAAATTTGTTACTTACCGTCAGATTCAGTTATTTTAGATTTTTGACGAAAAAGGTTGGGATCGTGCCAAATATTTGTTATTCCTAGAACTGTAGATTAGACTAGACTAGAGTTATTGTTATGTTTGTACATTGTTTTTACTCCATTTAATGCTAAGACTTATTTACCAACAAGTTTATCTACATCGGGTGAGAGAGTTGTAAACTCATAGTCAGCTATCATATGGCTGTCAATAATTTTAAGAATCAACTTGACCGAAATGTTGACGTGTAAATATAGCAGATCAACATAGAATTTTAAATAATATTTATAATTGACAAGTTATTTTTCTACGTTCGTTTCACATTATCTTTAGAGCTAACGTAGAAGTAGCGGAGGGATGCCGACGTAGGTATATTGACATGTCGATAAATGTTGTTACAGCAATAAGGTCTTCAACAGTTTAGTTAGAATTATCATAAAGCATTTTATTTGATTTACATGTAAATTGAATATGTTTTGGAAGGAAGTCAGTATAAATCCGTAACGCTTTATAATTAGGTTCGACGAAATCTAGAATTTCGAATAGTCATTTCTTCTACACTTTTTGGATATGCTTTATTGCACGTTACCTTTCGTTCGCCTTTGGAATCGTTTTTTCTTAATCTTACATTATGAAATAATCTTTATCTATAAATATTCGAGTAAGTTAGAAGTATTCGCATGTTTAATCAAACGTCTTCCAAAGTGACGTAAGGTATTGTTATTTTCTTCTTCTATTTTATTTATACCTTTTCTTATTTTTGTAAATTCATGAGTAATTCTGTTTTTCTTCGTCGAATATTTATTTTGTCCGTAACCTTTTCTCTATTGTTAGGTTTATTGTTGCAGTGGTCTTAAATAATAAAATAAAATCACTTGTGAAATATACAATTTTGATGTTGACTCGACGACATCAACTTCGGGCTCATCTTATTATTGATAAAAGAAAACAACAACATCTTTCATTTCTTTAGTTATAGCAGACATTGAAGTACCTATATAACTCTACAATCTTTGAAAATAAACTTAACTAAATTAGCTATTTTTCTATATAAAAGAACACTGCAACTGTCCTTCAGGTTGTGGCTCTGTGAGACTTACAAAAATATATATATAAAGATTAATTTAGAAAAATCTTAGCGGAAGTGTTCTAAAATAAAAAATATAGTTTCTCAGTACTATGGATTTTTGTGTATCCTTAAAAATAGGAAAACTACATAACAAGCTCGTATATGGCTGATATGCGAAATAAAAAAATTCTATACTTTGAACATTTTGGCTGTAGTGAAAATCCTCTGTAATTGACTCAGTCTTAATATATTCTTGAATTAATATTTATAAATTGTCAATTTATCACTGATCTACTAATAACTGTATTTTTTTTATTTAAAATAATTAACAGTCATTCTTCTTATTCTATATTATTTGTAATTCTCACAAAACTACAATCTAATTCAACAGCTAATGTAAAGCTGTTAAATAATTTCTATACTTCATTTATTTAACCTTCCTAGTTTACTGATATTATAGAAATAGAATATAAAGAAAATGTAATTAATAGGTAGATGAAACCACACGAAATTTGCGTTGAGCTTCCAACACGATTAGATGTAAATACAGAAATAAATAAACCACTATTCACACATATAGACACTTCCTTCTTTCATATTATGATACATAATATTATGTATTATTATTACATATAGCCGTTTAGAAATACTGGCTGTCAAAAAACTCAAAAGAAATTACTATTATATATACCAAAATAATTTGGATAAGACAAAAAAAACACATAAAGGCAATGTACCATATTACATATTTTCAAAAAACGTAAAACATAATTTTCTGAATTGTTAGGACGCTGACACACCAGATCAACTGGATCAATATGCAACTAAGCAAAATGTAACAATATTAAAAATTCTCAGATTAATACGTAGGTACAGTGAATTAAAAAAATCGTCTATCGTCGTGCTCAAATATCGTGCCATCTCTGATTGCATTTATCGCATTTATTTTATTGCATTGCATTTTACAAAGAATTTGTAGAGATAGAACTATACTTAAGCACGACTTAAAATTGAGTAGCGTTTCAGTATTCCGACATTAGCAATTCAAAGTATTTATTACCTGACTGACAAAGCTCACTATTAATACTTATCTTCCATGTAATGTATTGTGACGTCACTATATAAACATGCAAAATGTAGGTAGAGTATAAAAAATTGATAGTCAGTATTTCTAAAATGCTTTCGTTATCTTTGCAATAACTATTAAATTATAATTTAAGTTGTGTGTGCCTTATTTTATTAGTTCTGATTGGTCTTATGCTTTTACCGTGGAAGGATTTAAAAACACCGACATCAAAACTTATATGGTAAAATATGTAATAAAACTTAAAGTGTTTAAAATCAAATTCCAGATAGCAATTGTGGTCTTTTATAACTCTAAATCAAATAAGATCATCTTTTCATTTCGGAAATCTTCAGTCGCAATGCGGGCCCAGAGTTTATGAGACTAATTCCCATACATTTATTATGGACTATTATATAACAGCAAAGTGCAGCAGGTCTCAATATCACACAGGGGATCGCCAAGCAGTCTATGCACTACGTCGTCGCATGTTGCAACATGTTCAATGTTCATTTATACTGTAACAGACAATTTGCCGTGGCACTGCGGGCCAGCACGCATTACAGTGCCAAGTTTAGAATTCAACCCTGCATTGCGCTATCCGGGACCTGACACAATTTATACTCACCTAAAACTTTAGAGGTAACACTTCGAAGGGGACGGGCTTGGAAAAAATTATTGGTTTTTAATCTTCACCACGGTAACACGCTACTAAAACCTTTAGTAACTTTTGTAATATAATTATACCTTTTGTGTGCTTCAAGTATTCTAGAATTAGTTACCTTAGTTAACTAACCAAAGTTAGTTGAGATAATTTTATCAATGTCTTTAACGGACTTGTATTTAAGGCAAAGATTGTGTATATCTTTAATTTAAACGAAAGCAATCGTATTCGTACTATATTATATGTGTAAGTTAAAAGTTTTATATTGTCGAATCATTGTAATAATTTGGTGTCGCAACGACATATAGGATAAGTGTATGTTCGAAAATTTTCGTCTTGTAATATTACTAAGTGTAATTAATGTCCTCGACTAGTAATTATAATAATTTTTTGTTTGTTATTGAATTATTTTTCACCTTTCTCGTCACGAGTAACGGTGTTTGTTGTGAAGGAGTTGAAGATATGATCGGATCTAGATTAAAAATAACAGAAAAAATACAGAACTCAAATAACTGTATAATATCAAAAAATGATCTCCAGCCGATGATTTGCAATCTTTTTGTATTGGCAAACAATTATTATTATTAAACATTACCTGATAACTTATGAATTCATCAAATTAGAATTGAATCTATCTACAATTCCTACAAAACGAGCTGACCAGTGAAAATGGCATTACGCAAACGAACACCATACTAATGATACAAAATATAGATGATAGATAGTAACATGAGAGGAAATTCCTAAATTATTTTAATATGTAAGGTACTATAATATTACGTCATACAATAATAGACTTCTATGGGTATCTTGTCCTCAATAGATATAGTATTAGGAAAATAGTCGACTACTGGTACTGTTAAACTGACGCGGTCGCGCGAACCTGCGGCGCGATTTGTTAATTACAGTGACAGCTGACTAGCGCTCGTAATGGAACGATTTGTTTAAATAAATTAATATAATAATAACAATTTTGAAGATGGAGAATTTTTAAATGTATGTGTAGGTTAAGTACAGTTAAATTGTCGCGTCAGTCAGCTTTGTTTGTATAGTGTCGTGCCGCGTCAAATCGCGCGTCTTGTACCGCGTCAGTGTGACCTTACCTTTACTGTTCAGTCACTTGTATCACGAATTCATTGCCACTTGATACTTTTAAGATTTATGCACTATGCTATGATATACAAATATATATAAATATAATAATAATAATCGTATTGTTTGTTCTAAGTCATAATAGCTCAATAATTTATGAACTTCGTATTGTAATAAATAGTTGTAAGCAATTATTATAATGTACTAGGAAAATGCAAAGTTTAGTGTAAGGCGAAATAATATACATAATAAAAAAATAAATAATTTAGACCTTAAGGTTTAGAATGTAAGTCCCATTTTGTAATGTTAATTAAAAATAAAAAATCAAGCACAACCATTACCATTATGAATACACTCATGACTTCTTACTGCTAACATTGAAATGTATTATAAATATGAACTATAAATATTAAATGTTATGCGTTAATAATAAACTGGGGCGTTTTATTCCTATATCTCCCATTTTTCACAAAGACACACATCACAACACTTACACCTTTACAATATTATACAATTTTTTTAGGGCATAAGCCGGTAAACTAGCAGACGGATTACCTGATGGTAAGCAATCGGCGTCGCCCATGAACACCAGGAACACCAGAGGCATTACAATGGCATTACCGGCCTTTTGGGGATTAGGAGTTTGAGGATCGTTGGGGATTCAGGGATTGGGGAGATTGGGGAAGGGGAGGGTAATTGGGCCTCCGGTAACCTCACTCACACGACGAATTACAACGCAAGCGTTGCGTAAAGTCGGTTTTCTGTGAGGCCGTGGTATCACTCCGGTCGAGCTGGCCCATTCGTGCCGAAGCATGGTTCTCCCATAGTGATACACAGTGATACAATGCATAATACGAAAGCCATTAAAGTAACCACATAAAATTTGTTAGTTTATAAGATAATAATTTTAGTCAACAATTTTAGTAAGTTGCATGCCGCAATGACAGCGAAACATGTTGGTATTTTTTAAAAATATTTATAAGTACAACATCTCTGTATTTACCGTATTTCTGGCAAATAAATATATTATTATTAAATATAACATAACTACTCAATAAACAATGAAATTTAATGATTCTCAACGTAGCTTAACATGCTACGTAATTTTTGATTCGATGTCAAATTTCAGATAGTACGGAAAATGCAATTGTGGTCAGTGGATGGCAATGGAATCATACCTAGCATATCATACAAAATGTAATAATAATGGTCATTACATCGTCACAGTGACATCTATACAGATAAACGAAATTGGAGCCTGTTTGTAATATTAAAATAACCACTTTTTACTACATACATATGTATATATGTACTAAAAAAGTACGGTACTCATACCAAAATAACAGATTTTAAATTTTTTGTCTGTCTATCTGTTTATACTAGGTAACCTCTGGAATAACCTGACCGATTTTTATAGCACTTTTATTGGCAGTTAGCTAATTTACTAAGAAATAACATAAGCTATTTTCATTTTGGAAATTTAAAACAAAAATATTCTACGCAGACGAAGTCGCGGGCAACAGCTTGTTATATAACACGATTAACCAGAAATAAATAATAATACATGAAAGAAAAACAAAACAACGAAATTATCAAATCAATTTATTCTATCCAAAATGGCTGCTAAACAAGGCCCAAGGGTTTAAAGCGGTATCCAGTTTAGGCGATGGAGCGTTATAATATCCTTTCACCAGGTCGACCAGGGATATAGGGCAGGAGAAGTTATCACAACTGGAGAGTATGCTGCCCAATCTGTGGGCAGCATCATAAGCTGCTTGCTCCATTGGCTCAGAAGCCAGAACCTTTGTCATCGGTAAACTGGAAAATAAAGAAAAATAAAATTAATTTTGTAAAACAACATATAACATAACATCCTTTTATCCCCGAAGGGGTAGGCAGAGGTGCACATTATACCACTGTACAATGTAACACCCACTTTTCACTATTTATGTTATGAGTCCCATGTAATAGGGGGTGAGCCTATTGCCATATACCGGACACAATTCCAGACTCCGTGCTACTACTGAGAATTTTTTAAAAATCCAGTAATACTTTTCCCGACTCGGGAATCGAACTCGAGACCCCTTGCCCGGCAGTCGCACTTGCGAACACTCGGCCAACGAGGCAGTTTTGTAAAACAACTGCATATAATATTCATTTAGTACGTAGCTGCTGGACCTATCTGAATTAAGTCATTGCGGAGGAGGCCCTCGTTATACAGCGGACAATATATGACTGATTAAATTACTCCTCAAGCGTGACTGCTAAACAAAAGGTTCTCGGGTAGAGTAGTGCTAATAGTCTGGAACTGTGCATAGACAAGGGACTCATGAGACAACTGTTACATTATAAAGCGACTGTTACATTGTTTATGTTCACCAATGTCTGACCTCTTGAACATTATTTTATGTTATAGTAATTGCTAGAACAAGCTTACGGCGTACTAACCGGCCTGGGTTCGATCCCCAGACTAAATATAGCAATCTAGGGATTTTCGATTGCTTACTTCATAACATGGACTCTGGAATTGTGCCAAGTTTTTCAAAATAGGCTTAGGCGACTGCCTTAATAGAAGTACCTGCAATGGTACTGTTGGAAAATATGTAGTTGGAAACTGAATATTCGGATGGTGTGGATATCACCTTAGTTTTCTTCTTATAGGTTTAATGATTGTTTATTCACTCATAAAGAACATGGTTCACTTACAATGAACTTAAATGAATAATTATAGCACAGAGTTCTGACCAAATGGTATTAATAAATATTTTCAGATACATATTTTCTTAACCTATTTTTAAACATGGCAATCGACTGACATTCCTTAATATTATTTGGCAAATGATTATACAATTGTGCTCCCTCATATGTTATACATCCTTTACCGTAATTTGTTTTGTGCCTTTGTAGTTTAATCTTGTTTGTATTTCTCAAGGAATGATAAAATGATCTCAAAGTAAACCTGACCTTAGATTGTATTTGACCCGTTAGTATTTTACTCACCAGCAAGCACATATTGTAAGTGTAGGTCTGTTGCAAATTAAATATTTTTGTTTCAGAGTATAATTGACGTGTGTTAGTAAGATAGTCATAGTTAAATAGAGATTTATTTATGGCAATGACAATGCAATTATGATACCTCTGGTGTTGCAGATGTACTTAGATTGTAGGTTCATGTTCACTAGAGATCACCACTGTCTGGTCTCCGTCAATGTCAGTAGGCTCTGAAGACATCCATGGAAGTAGACGTGATGATTTGTGCTCATTTTGTACTATCAGTAGTAGAATAATAAAAAAACAATTGTAAGAAATATTAACTTACGTGAACAAAGTCCTGAACATCTCCTCAACCATGTTCTCTCCATGAGGTACGAGCCTCTGGGTCGTCTCGCACAAGGTTTTTAGAATGCACTGTCTTCCATTGTAACCCATACTGGAAAAATAGAATATGATCTATTAATTATCAAATTATATGACACTACAAAGTATCTGATAAAAAAGACTGTAATACTAATAAATGTATGGGATTTAAAGTATTGTAAAAAAACGTAAGGCGTCCTCCAAGATATGCATCATATTTACATAGACGATTGCCCAATAATTTTTGATTCAGTCTTTGGTTAACTTTCATCTTCTATCCCCGATTATGAAAAATTGCCAACAATTGTTTATACAAAAGTAGTCTCTAAACATTGGAGATAAGGTATATAACGGAGTAAGTACAGAGCGGTCACTGATGACCGCTTGAGGACTGGGCCGCTTACATTCGAAGCACATAAAATTTTTAGACCAAACTTTGTAGTACAAACTGAAACTTGATTATAACTTACTTTTCCATGATTTTCTCCAACTTCTGATAAAGTTCTCGTCTACTTCTCCTCTGAGCCATGGGTTTGGACAGCCGATTGTATCTTCTATAAAACTTACTGGTTTCTGTGGCGTTGGGCAGCTCGTATGCTATGCCCCAATTCATACCCCATGTGAAGGTACCGGGAGCGGAGCTTGGGGCCGGCTGACCAATCACACCGACTGTCATGCAGCCTGCACACTGGAATATGTTGAAGATGATGGTTATGACTAAGTAATATTCAAAACAATATCAGAATATCAACTAATCTAAGAAGGTTTAACTTGTTTTGAGAAAAAAAAGAAAAAAAAAATATTTCACGCAATAAAAACAAGTGACATGTACAAATGTGTCATTCTGTTACTAGGTACTGATGAATACATGTTCATGTCCCAAGTATGCCGTGAAATGGGACCAGTTCAGCATGTGCAAGACAGGGCCTTGCGCTGGTATTCTACTGGCCCTTAAAGTGACTCGCGGACTAACAAGCCTAGCGGTTTTCTATGCGCCATGGTAAAGGTAACATAATAACATGAAGTCACGGCTTTCATTACTCGAAAGCGATTGGCACAGTCTCACATGTTAAATGTGAACTTCTACTTTCACCAGTTATGATATCAGTCTCATACTTGAAGTGCCTAATATACTGGGGAGAATTTCAGATGGCTGCGTGCTACTACTAAAAATTTTAAATATACATACATACGTCAAAGTCTGTATTTAAACATTTATTCAGGCCGTGATTTTACTAGCTAGGTATTCAAAAGGCAAAAGTACGTAGCAATCCATATATACAACATATCCATACATCACCATAGAAAACATACTGGAGAAAAAAACGGCGATCATAAATCGCGAATAAGACATAAAAAACTGTCTTAAAATTTAAGAGAGATAAAATTCCAAAAAGTACGTAATCAACCACGTTTTATGTCACCGAATGATACGTTCTGTAGGTATCTAATATAAGAAGTACTTACTTATAAACATACAATTTTGTATTTTGTGTTTTATTAACTTTTGTTCTGAATTAAATCTTATGTCATTACAAACACGAACGTTTTAGCTGTCTAGTTATACACGTAGGTACTATAGTTTTATCGATAAGTGATATATATAAAAGAAATAGAGTTTCCTTAATTTTTGGCAATAATTAAACCTTTGAGTACCGTCATTATAGACACAATTAAAGAACAATAGGTTGCGGTCACCGGTGTCCTCGCGGTGTTTGACAGTTTAATCCACATACTACGTAAAAGATTCTTAGACAAAAATTTACAATGTCACACGCCTATTATTACTGTCAATGTAATAACTATTAAAAATAACAACGAATTCAAAAACTTACAGAAAAACTGGAACCTTCAGGGAACGCGACATATCGTTTCCTTCTCGACAGCAACTTGGAAGCACACGTTTCACCATAAAACCATGTCAGTAGCAAAAACAAAAGAAACTGTTTATTCATTTTTTTTGATTATTTTTTCGAATTCCGTGTCCACCTTCGTACCTTGGTTAGAACGATATAAGTAATAGACGTTCCGTTAAACCTTGTTACAATAACGGTTTCCATAATTTTCATGTTTTAGAGTTAAATGTACGAACACGAACTGACATACTGGACTAAAATGTGTTAGCATGTATATCATGTTTAGCTGTCAATTTCATAAAATTGGAATTTAGTTTAGAATTTTCGTGGACCCGTGGTTTAAATTTTGTCAAAATAATTATTGTTGATAATATGAGTAGCATGAGTTTAATAACAGACAATTTATAAATATTCGAAATAAAAAGAAAAAATGAAATATTTTTTTACAAAATCAAATTATAATAAAAAATGTAATCACATTCATTTTATCCAACTCTTAGTACATACCTCTAAACATAGATATAATTCACATCTAAAAATAAATACACTGATTCAGATAATCATTAAGATTCTATTCCACTAAAAGGGATACAAATAGCATACACAAAATAAATTAAAATACAAAAATACAAATTCTAAAATATTCAAGCAATTACAGCAAGACGGGCGTCCAAATATGAAAAGTTGATTAATTATTTTACAGTAAAACACACTGAATACCTTTTACAATTGGTTATTGAACGTCGATTCATGTACTTGTTAACGCGGGTTTCTGTCAAAATTGGGAATCAATTATACCCAAAAGTTACTCTCGAGTAAATGCTTTTAACCCTTCATCATATCTCTTTAGTCCATTGTTGGATTATATTTGGAAAATGATTGGATAAAATTTGCTTTTTAATTTTATTCAGAGTATTTATGGTCGGGAGATCTTTTGAACGTAGAATTTTTGATTCGAGTTTTGAAATTAATACATAATTCAAAATGTTAAATACAAATACAAAAAGGTTGTATTGATTAGGAAGATGGAGTTAATATTAATTATTAATACAAAATTAATCGAGAACCTGCGATGTTCCTACCTGTAAATTTTAAATAATAAAATAGTAGTTCTTAATCGTTGTCAATTCTATCCTTATAATATTTTATGCATCATAAGAAAAGAAATGTACAATATTGTCATAATAGGAAAAACTATACGAAAAAATCAGTCCTACTTGTTATTAATTTAGAACGAATTAAGATTATATAAAAAAGTTCGTGAGATATACGAAATTAATTATTATGTTTTCGATTTACTCACTAGTTGCTAGAATAGCAGTGTTAGTCGCCGCGTCACGGGACACGGAATGCTGCTCATGAATATGAGCCTCTAGCATGGCTTGAAACTAGTCGAGATCCTCGTCAAATAGTTACATGAGTAAGCCAAAAGCGTAATAATAAACTAACCAAGTATAAGTAATTGAGTATTTATCAGACGTCACATATACTATGACTATAATTTTCAAAATAAATGATTTAAAATTATCTAATACACTGTTCTTAATTCTTAAAAATAATAACCTAAATAAAGTTACCGCTTGTTATAAAAATCATTGTTTAAGTCCTAATTTCCCATTTATTTCTAAAAATGAATACACAAACATAACAATACCACCTACATCGAATCCACCTATGTACATTTAGCATTAAAACACATCAAAGTTAATTCTATCCAAAATTACTACTAAACAATGCCCAAGGGTTTCTTCCCAAGTCAACCTTTGGCGCAGGAGCATTGTAATAACCCTTGATTAAGTCCACCAATGAGATTGGACATTTGAATCTATCGCAGGAATCGACGATACGGCCCAAACGGTGAGCGGCATCATATATTGCGTGCTCCAAAGGCTCTGTTGGTAGGACTTTCGCTGGTGGCATGCTGTTGAAGAAAAAGAAGAAGCTTTTACTCCACAATCGTAAATGTATTGCACGCTATTTGTAACTGTATTCTACTTAAAATAATAAAAAAATGATAATCGTAACTAATGTATTTTTATTATGAGGGGTACATCATCCAATGACTTCTCCTGCCCAAGCAAGGCGAGAGAGAGTATCAGACTCTTACTGACTATAAGCTACCCCGTTACTACTCGTGCATTTCGAGCTGGAGCCCCGACAATCCTCCGCGGTTCCGTGTCGGCATCAGCCCTATTGGGCCCCGTCTGATGGCTCTTTGAGTCGCTCCGTACTCTCGGATCTTGGTTCCGGTCGGGTGGCAAGTCACCCGTACAATCGAACTAATATCTAATTGTTTTTTTTTTAAGCAAAAACTGCTCTCTCAGTTCACAAACCACAAAATTTCTTTTGTAATAGTTTTCAAAGTGATAAAATAGATAAATGTATACTATACTGTATACTCACGTGAATAAAGTTCTGAACATCTCTTCAACCACGTTGTCTCCATGCGGGACTAGTCTTTGAGTGGTCTCACATAGCGTCTTCAGAATACATTCCCTCCCACTATATCCCATACTGAAATGTTTAAAATATTTATTACAATAACCTCTACCGTAGCATGACAAACGGTACCTACTTGGTATGTACCATGTACTCACAGTGGAGTCACAGTTATGACTGCACCGAGTCTGATAAAAGTTTTTATCGAGAAAATTCGAAAATCAAATCAAAACAAATAGGTACAGATAAGTACTTTAACCGCACCAGACGAACTATCAACGATTCGATAATTGGAACACGATTAACGTAGTATTGGGTGATGTTTCACCATAGCTGTTTAAGATTATTTTAGCTTAATTAACAGATTTTGATGCATCTTCCCTATTTAACAATTTAAACGAACATAAAGTTAACGTAACTTAAATTCAATGCCTTAATTCTTAAAAATGTAGACACAACTTACTTATCCAATATAGTCTCCAATTTCCCATACAATTCCCTCCTATTGATTCTCTTCTGTAAATGCTGTCTTTTATAGTATTTCTTCTGTAAGAAGTAGATGGTGGCTTCTGTCACATTGGGCAACTCATAGGCGATCGCCCAGTTAAGACTGAAGGTGAAGGTTCCAGGACTTGATGATGGAGCCGGCTGACCAATCAGACCAACTGTCACACAGCCGGCGCACTGCAAAAGGGGAGTTATTTTTAATCTTTAAACAACAATATTGGAGGACTTCTTTGTGAACGTGGTTAATAGAAATTAAGGCCACTGTGTTTAAAAGTTTTTAATTTGTGATTTACTAATTGCATTTAGTTATGAAATACTTTTTATGAATACCAAGAGCCTTACAGAGATTTTAAGACCAAAGAGATAACTAGCAAAAACTATGAAAATAGGCAACAATTTGATTGTAATAAACAGATCAATTTATTTTATTAACAAAATTCGTTAATGCATTTCGAATTTGAGCTTTGATTAGCTCGTACTTCGATCCCTCACCAATTTTTTTTTTCTGTTCGATATTCAAAAAATGTATTGAAATAAATGTCGACACAAAATAAAAACTTATACTCTTATGAAGTTCTAAACTTGACATAAGGATGATAAGGTTCAAAATAAAAAAAAATACTTACCGAAAAACTGGAACCTTCTGGAAAAGCGACATACCGTTTTCTTCTCGACAAAATCTTTGACACATCTCTAGACTCTGACAAGGCACTAAATTGCACACAGCTTAAAAATACTACAACTAAAACAAAAATATTTAATTCCATCGTAAAAGCAAAACAGACAAAATATTATAAAAAGAAATAAACGTTCGAAATTCAGAATTCGAATTTAGAAACGGCCATTTTTACTATTCACAAAAGCAGTCTAATAAAAACAACTGACATCTGTCACTTCACAGATAAAACAATGAAATGAAGTTCAATTATGTTTAACGGGAAATGTGTGGGTCGCTATTGTTCAAATTTTATAACAGTATCATTTCATATGTCGCTAAAAGACATGAATTGTTCGTTCTAGATTGAAAAGAAAGTGTCTATTTAGATGAATTAGCATGTCTGTGACATTTCAGCTTTGTTTCTTAGTTTGATAGTTGAGTAAATATAGTGACTTTAAATGTATTGGAAAGTGTAATCTCATTGTAACACGATATACTTATATTTTAAAGAATAGTTTTTACAGTAAATGTTAAGTAAATGACTGACTGCCTCGTTGGCCGTGTGGTCGCAAGTGCGACTACCGGGCAAGGGGTCTTGAGTTCGATTCCCGGGTCGGGCAAAGTATTACTGGGTTTTTAAAATTCTCAGTAGTACCACCGAGTCTGGAATTGTGCCCAGTATATGGCAATAGGCTCACCTCCTATTACATGGGACTCATAACATAAATAGTGAAAAGTGGGTGTACTATACAGTGGCATAATGCGCACCTCTGCCTACCCTTTCGAGGATAAAAAGCGTGATGTTATGTTTTGTAGCTAAACCAATAACATACAAATACTTCAAAAATTAGTCATCACTATCATCAGCCTAACTGTTCTAAGTCTAGGCAAAAGCCTCTTGTCTCACGAAGAAGGATCAAGGTTTCCTCACGATCTTTTCCTGTATACTTATATCTTATTGTAAAAAATTAAATACAACCTCTAACCAAAGGACAGTACTTCAAAGGAATTCCTTAATCTCTTCGAAATACCTGACTCAAACATTTTAACTTTAATTCTTAAAAGTATCTTGGCTTCAAATAATAATTCTAACACTTCCATTCACAAAAGTGGGCTTAGGGTAAAAAGAAGCAGTTTGCATATTTCTGGGGTAAAAAACTCGACTCGATGACGGATAGCTGACATTCCATTAGACGCGTAACGCGACAGAGGCCGGAATATGGTAGCGCCATTACCCCAAATCCGTTGGTATACAAATCATGTGACTCCATTGCGTTCGCGAGATCAATCGATCGCATGTCCTTATATATTATGTTTATATATATCTGCACTTTTTTCCCTCAACCGAATCTATTACGAATCTGTAAATGAATGCTATAATGGTATTAGAACTTTTCAGTAATAGCTTAAAGATTGTATTAGTCATGCAGGCTGTTTCTGATGCTCTCCCATCTGATGATAATGACGATGCCATGACGTAGTCTCATACACTATTATATAATAATTATGACTTAAATTATAGCTGACAACAGTATAGAGATGCACCGTCATCACAGTCACTTCTTCAGAGAAAAAGTAAATGATAATTTCTAACTTGTACATACATTGTACAAATCGTTAGTGACCTCTAGAACCTGTTCTCTTGAACTAAAAAAGAGGTGAAAGAGAATTTGACTATAAAAATAGATTTATTAATGTAGTACTAGTAAACTAATAAAATTGTCGCGGAGGACTTAACGGGTAACCGGGGCTCCGGCTCGACGTGCAGGAGAAAGAATGGGGTGGTTTTTAGTCAGTAAGAGTCTGACACTCCCTCCCGCCTCACCCAGGCGGGAGCAGACATTCGATGATTTTCCCCATTCAAAAAAACTATTAAGATTGGGGAGAAAATGCCATTGATAACACAATTATTATCTGACTACTTCGTTTTTTGAGTGGAAAATAAAGGATTACATAACTTATATGGCGATAAGTAATGGTTACATTGTTATGATTGTTACATCCCTGTCTAACACTTCGGGGACCAAAATTGTGACGTTAAGTTATGTAAATATAAGTTCATATATAAAATTAATGAATCATTTACTCCACACCTATTTACAAAGCTTCATTAACAATAACCAAAACCACACATCTTGTTAAAAACGTAATAACAAAATTACACACCGCAAAATCGTCAGCAAATCCCTCGGGAACCCGTTTTCACCTCCTTATCCTTACGATGTCAGCGTTCAAAAGATTTATGAAAACATACATCACTTGGGCGACTGACCTTCCCCTACTAATGGGTGATGAACGGTACTAACAACCATCGCTATTATTTGGGTACAATAGACCAATGGAGTTCGACAAAAAGTTGACAAATTCCAAGAGTGTAGGGCAAATGAGATCATAGGTTTTTGTATAGTTTGTTTGTCGACTTCGATGTTGGAGATTTCTTTTATTTTTTGCTGTGCTCTGATTGTAGATATAAGAAATAAAATAATACAATTATATCATCTGTTTTGATGGCATAACAAATAGTTGACTAAATACGCAACTATCAACTTATAAACTATAAAGTCAAAGTCAAAGTCAAAGCATTTATTTCAATTAAACCATAGTTTGGTGCTTTTGAAACGTCAACAAATACAAAATAAATAATAGTCTGTCAGTCAGTCCGTCAGTGAAACTAGGTGAAGCTAGGTGCTCATTCCAAAAAGTAGATTCGAATGGAGAAACAACGTAATAACTCAATAAACAAATGTAACATGAAAATTTCGCAAGCAATGTAAGCAGTCCGGTTGTGATAAAAAGTAATACTTTTGCTAAACTAGACGCCGTATATTACTGACAAATAAAAAAGTATATTCAATACAATTTCTTCGACAATTTCAAGGATCAAAATCAAAGCCACGACCTCGTCTATAGGAAACAACATCCTATCAACTAAAAAATACTTAATAAATTATTATGTTTTCGGCTTACTCACGTAATAATTTGACGAGGAACTCGACTAGTTTCAGTAGTAGCGCGACAGTCGCCGCATCGGGGGTCGCGAAATGCTGCTCATGAATATGAGCTTCTAGCATGGCTCGAAACTAGTCGAGTTCCTCGTCAAATTATTACGTGAGTAAGCCGAAAACATAATAATTTATTTAGTATTTTTCACGAAAGTTACAATACAAATATAAAAAAAATAATTATACACTTCAGTTGTCGATTTAACTTTTAAACCAAAACTTTATAAACTGAAAATACTCTTATAAACGGTTTACAATAACAATTTAGAATGAGTTAAAACAAATGGTAATGCACATAAAAGCTAGAAATGTGTAAGGCGATAACCGTTTTCGGGCTGCTTGCACTAAAACGCATTTAGCGATCGGTAGGAACATAGTGAAGCTAAACGGGAGCTGAACTTATGGTTTACTGGTGTTTATATTATGTTTTGTGAATGATCTGGTCTTGGTAATCTTTCGGTTAAGGAAACAACACTTATTTTGGAGTTTTTTTTAAGGAGGGAAAATCATCGAATGACTGCTCCCGCCTGGGTGAGGCGGGAGGGAGTGTCAGGCTCTTATTGACTAAAAAAACCACCCCGTTCCTTCTCCTGCACGTCGAGCCGGAGCCCCGGTAAACCGTTAGGTATACGTTTAGGGGAAAAAAATACATTTAGAGAATGAATTTGGGGTAAAATAAAATGTAGTCTTGTGAAGTGAAGCTTAATCAATCTCTTTTAATTCTGCAATGAAGCTGCTTGACGTCCTACTCATCTTTGTTCTTATTTAATAAAAATAGTAACGTATTTAAAAATATAGTGCGGATACAATCATAACTAGTTTTACCGAGGACGTAAGGAGAGGTGAATTTATCAAAAATACATCATACTCTAGTTTTACTACACGTAATTAGATTGCCATGACTTTCATTCTTATTTACAACAAATTCCACAATTTCAGTAAACGTTTCATTATCTTTGAACTAGTTTTAATTACGTAATTTGTGAAATACAAGATACCTACTTCTACGGCTTTTAATATCCAAATCTTCCAGAATCAGTTACGGAACTGGAAAACACTGTTGTGTTTTCGAACATTTCAATTACAAAATTCATTCTTAAAGTATAATAATAAATAATCTTTATTGTACACCAATTTGAGACAGTATATCCAGGAACAAATAAAGAAAATAGGGTACAAAGGCGGCCTTATCGCTAAAAGCGATATCTACCAGGCAACCTTTATAAAGGCAGTATACCTACGTATCATGGTGAAATTTATACGTAAAGATGGGAAAATATTTACGCTTTCAATTTTCTAATACACACGTGGAATAATAAATCGGTAATTATAATATAGAACGAGTGTGTGATCGATACCTAATGCAAATGTGTGTACCGCGTTATGGAATATGATCGATTCTAATGGATGCCTCGTACTGAAGGGCTGCAACCCTTTGCTGTTTGGTGCAAGTTTAAGTGGCGGATACTTTTTTATTTATTGATTTTTTTTGTCTTAAGCATTATAGAAATAACTTCAGTGCTTAGCGCGAACTTCATATAAATATTTTCATAGTTTGAATGTGTCTAATAATTGGTTATTCTCGTTGGTCTTGCCTGCCAAGAATAATATTAGTTGTGTACTTAAATAATGCTTCATTTGAATATTGTTGAAAGTCCCGAGTGAACAGGTTGCTTATAGGAAGGCGTGCTTCATCGACGGCCACATCATCGCTTACCACCAGGCAAGATGGTGGCCAAATGTCAACCTATTAAGTATAAAATGAAGTAATATAAGGACAACTCATATTAAACATTCCGAACTACTGAACCAACATTTAAGATTCACTCAACTCAATTCATTCAAATTACAAATGTCAACCTATTAAGTATAAAATGAAGTAATATAAGGACAACTCATATTAAACATTCCAAACTACTGAACCAACATTTAAGATTGAAGAAAACAATTTAAAACTCTGTCAGCTTCTATTTTACACCATAACCGCTTAACCGACTTTATATCCCATCGAATAACGACATCAAAGTAATTTAATAATCGTTCGCACTCGAGGAAAGTGACTGATATAGGCGACATTTATTTTAGTTTGAACTTACCTTTTTGTGTATTCTGCAATAGTTCAGAAAATCGATAGAAAATGTTTTATTCTGATGAAATAGATTGAACTTTTAATAAAGAACATTAAGCTATTTTCAGAAGTTCTGTTGACCCCAATTAGTTGTTTTTTTAATCTTAATTTTAAATGCACGGTAACTGTCGTCGCAAACACAAGTACTCAGCAAAGTCCCTGATCGAATTTGTCTACGGGTTGGTTAAAATATTATTGTTTCATTGGTTTTTCGATAATTTTTCAGTAATTGCAAAAAATCAAACGTTGTGTCCCTTAAGCTCTACCCCTAGTACATTAGACTTATACCAATTGGTGAATGTATCATTATTTTTAGGTAGGTAGTCGTCCAACTCTGCCCCTTTGGGGATTTTTGAAAACGCAATCAAATTGTCAATAAATTTTAAAATAAAACTACACAAAAATTTTAACAGTACCACTTTAATAGCCCACCGCTATCTATGTCGATTTAAATCCAAAATAAAGCTGAGTATAGACAGCGGGCAGTCATTCGCTTTCATACAGAAGTCTGGTTCCAATAACTCATTGTATGTCAAGCCCATTTCTTCGACAAACTCCCTTTCTTCCAAGGGTGCTCTGAAATGAAAATAATTTATTAATGTTTGGGAATAGTGTGTACGTATCCTTAAAGGTGTTCCATGGATTACGATTAGTTGAAATAAAAGTAAAATGATTTGATGGAAATAAAGTCGTTCTTTGATGATAAATACAGTACAGTACAAATAAAGTAAAAGTGCTGTAATTTTTTTTTTGTTTTTACGTCCAGATTATGTAACTTATTTTTATTATCCATAGGGATGGTATCTTTTTCGATCTATGATTGGATTTTGTTGTTACTTTGTTCTCATACAATTGAACTCACTTAAATACCTATGTAACTAAAGAATTATATTGTGAACTTGATTGAAAAAGAGTAACCTATTAAGTTTCTTGCTCGCTCTTCTTCATGGGAATCTACACCTTGGAATGAGCACATAGCTACGCTTTTAAATTTTTGGTGAAAAGCCACTTTTGAATGTCATGAGTTTTATGAGTCGGTGAGTCCCATGTAATAAGGGTGAGCCTATTGCCATATACCGAGCATATTTCCAGACTCGAGATGCTACTACTGACATTTTTTTTAAAAACCTAATTATACTTTGCCTGACCCGGGTATCGAATCTGAGGCCCCTTCCCCGGCAGTCACCTTACGACCACTTGGCCAACAAGGTAATCTACGTCTACTAGAAATCTCAACTCAAAAAGTCTATTCAAACCATCCAGTACCTACATCTCCAAACATGCTAACGCGTATAGGAATTGAAATAGCATTTGAATACTATATTACTAAGAACATAAGGCGGTCCAGTATGTAATTCATACAATTTTCATCCTTATAGCAATACGTAATATGACCAGCTGTTCCAGTACGGTGTATGAATAGTTTATAGTCGATTATTCTATGGCTACTAGTTGTGGAGAAACAGCTGGTATCTTCAATACATTTCTTGTTTGAATTTTCATGTTATTGTGAATTTATAACATCATATCAGTTTTTGTATGGGGAGATAAAGGTGTGTAATTTAATTACTCTTATTAGAGATTATACCAATCATATTTCGACATCAAACGTAATAAGGTAACATCGTTATTTTTTTCAAATTAGGTATTAATCTTAATTATCACTGCCTCGTTGGCCGAGTGGTCGCAAGCGCGACTGTCGGGCAAGGGGTCTCGGGTTCGATTCCCGGGTAGGGCAAAGTATTACTGGGTTTTAAAAAAATTCTCACGTAGTAGTTTAGTAGCACGGAGACTGGAATTGTGGCCGGTATATGGCAATAGGCTCACCTCCTATTACATGGGACTCATAACATAAATAGTGAAAAATGAATGTTACATTGTACAGTGGCATAATGTGCACCTCTGTCTACCCTTTCGGGGATAAAAGGCCTGATGTTATGTCTTAATTATCATAGTTGCTAAGGTAAAAGTCAAAGCATTCTATTTATCCAAAAATGCAATGCTTTGCAAACGTCAAACTTGAATTGTTCATCAGTCTTGAGTCTATCCACCAGTGCAAGTTAAGATTACATTAATGTTTAATTAATTCCTATTTTTACTCTAGTACTAATATAAATCACAAAACTTAGATATCAGGGGGTGCTTATAACTATTCCAAACTCCGTACGACGAGTACCCACTTGTATAGCAGTTGGGTAATGTATCATTAGAACACTTCTAGGACTCTTGAACTTTAAGTGTAATCTCATGCTAAGGGCATTATTTGTGGGTCCAGTAGGGCTGATGCCAATACGGAGCCACGTAGGACTTAACGGATTGCTGGGGCTCCAGCTCGAAACGCAGAAGTAGAAACTGGGTGGTTTTTAGTCAGTAAGAGTCTGACACTCCCTCTCACCTCACCCTGGGCGGGACAAGTAATTGGATGATTTATCCCCCCTAAAAAGTTCATTATTGTAGTAATAAGTTAAGTGTGACGTGACCACTGACTACAAATCAAAATGGCTGACCAATTCTGCAATAGTGCCAATGCATGACATAATGTCTTGTTACCTCTCCTGACGCAAATAGTTAGCATTATGTTATGTTATTATAACTTCCTAACTTATAAAGACAAAACAAACCCTACCTATTTTTCGTTAATCTTATATTGAGGACAATTCCCCGAACTGGGTTCTATCCAAACCAACCCTGATGTGACGTCATCCGCCAATTTCCCTCCACAATACCACTTATGAAAGTTTAAAGAGAATTTTAACAATGAGAATCGCCTACGCGAGACATCTCTAAGGAGCCACTATGCAACCTTAAACCTTACAAGAAACTTTAACTCAAGTAACGTAATCCATTGCCGTTTTGACACGCCGGAATAGATTACACTATGAACAAAACCGGTAATGGATTAGGTGTTCTGAAAAAATCTCACGAGGTAAATCCCGAATTGTTCCAGTTCCTTGTTTCATGGTATATAATGTTATGACGTAATCTCGCGACGTATAAGGATCACGTATTCCGATTATAAGGCAATTAGCGTGTTGAGAACTCGGCAATGACACGATGCGGTTATCTTATAGTGGTTATTATCAACGATTTTGAATAATTTATACATATTTTAAGATTAGGGCTTATGTAGCGTAAAATTCGAATCTTAGGGATGTATTTATTGGTGTAATTAATTATTCTTGTAATAAATATTTGTATGTGTGAAGGATTTTGCAATGGCTGCCTAAATGCTTAGTTGACAATGATAGTCGTTTATGCGAGATTACGTAATATATACTCAAGAAATTAAAAGAATGTTTTTATTTGTAGTGAGATTCGACATTAAATTCCAAGAGACCAAACATAGTAACAATCGTTTTTTGGCTACCGAGCAAAGAGCCTTGACTTTGATCAATGGATTAAGTAAACAAGATATTTATTGATCAGTACATTTAAATTAAAGTAAAACACCTACTATGTTATAGTCTTAAAACTTCTATTCTTAAAACTTATTGACATTGTTAATTGATTTATTGACATCTGTTTGATTATTATTGTTCTATTGACATTGTAATTCATTCATTGAAGCCTAAAATTTTTGTTTTTGACATTTTTAATAACTCTGGATTTCAATTTGAGAATTTAATTTATTAATTATTTCTATTTCTCCGCTTTTTCAATTATTGATATTCAACAACATTGTAGTTTAATTTTATTTTGTTTTGAATTGGAGTCATTATTGATTATTAGAAATTGTAACTTAGTTTGTCGTACTTTGATTTGGAATCATTAGCAAGGGTTGTGTTTTGATTGTTTGTGCTAACTTAGAATCATTTTTGAAAATCGCGATTTAGTTTTGTTAAAATATTTGCATGCCAAATTTATAGGCGAGATATGATGAACTATTGTTATGTCATAAAATCTGTAAACCACCATATTTCAGGCAAATAAATGAATCTATCTATCTATCTATCTATCTATCTAATTCCTGATACAATAGACATATTGAATCTATACGCATTTATTACATACACTCATTCTCAAAGCGTTGCTAACGTTACATTATTAGAAGTTCAGTAATCCTTAAGACTAAGATCTTAATTCAGTAATCCAGCCAATTTATAGGGGACTCGTCTTTGAAAGTCTCACTTGAGTTGTAAAGGTCAGAATGACCACAGAAAAGTGTAAATGTTACGTCATAATTATTATAAAATTTACTGCACGGTTGGCGCGGTGGTTGGGCAACTGACTACCGCGCAACGTGTCCACAGATTGTTTTTTCCGGTCTGGGTGTCATGTGTATGTGAACTTGTATGTTTGTAAACGCACCCACGACACAGGAGAAAATCCTAGTGTGGGGCAAAGTTTAAAAAAAGAAAAACATATATAATGACTTATGCATTTGTCACCCCTTCTACTTTCCCTAGTACACTTACTTTTATTCCTAGCACTTTAATTTTATCTAATGCCTGTTGTAATTGAAATAAACTTTTTTTTTCCCACAGTTGTCGTAAGTACCTACTAAGGGATGGAGTCCTATTTAGTAGTATCTCATGTGAACTTAAATTAATAAGTGAAGTAGTAGTTCAATCGAACTTCACATTAGATAAGACTCACTCACTATGTTGTACTTTAAAATAATAAAAGATCACTAAACAGAAGAATGGACATAACATAACATTTAGCCTTTTATCCCCGAAGGGGTAGGCAGAAGTGCACATTACAACACTTAATGCCACTGTGCAATGTAACACCCACTTATCACTATTTATGTTACCAGTCCCATGTAATAGGGGTGAGCCTATAGGCCATATACCGGGCACAAATCCAGACTTCGTGCTACTACTGAGATCTTTTTAAAAAACCCATTTTTGAATTGATAAATAAAATGAAAAAAATGACGAATGGAAATTATGGCAAAATCTTTTTAAGAAGATTCCTTCAGTGGAAGTCACTATCTGTTAATGTTGATGATAATAATAACGTGGTCATCAAAATGCTTACGTGAACATAGCTCTTAATATATCGTGGACGAGAGACTTTCCTTTTGGCGCTAACCGCATCTTGGCCTCACATATCGTCCGTATGATACAGCCTCGCCCGTTCATATTGCGTCTGTAATCGGAAGCAAATAGTTAAAAAATATTACGATAGTTGGGTAATCAATAGTGGACAATCGCAGGCGCTCAGTTTAAGTTTAGAACTTGTGGTAGCTAAGTTGATTGCACAAATAAGACCTCACATCTCACAAACTCCATCATATGAGTGCAAAATTTAAAATCTCAATCAGGTCAAATTCAGTAATTTATTATTCGTAAGTCAGAAAATCCATCTTTTGGTCTTTATTGGCCCACCAACAATTGTATACATTAGTATATTAAACAACAAACTATTTCATTAGACAGTAAAATGTTACAATCTATTACAGGCGAGCACAGCATTCTTTAAGAAAAAATCAATTAATAGACAATAATACGGAAAGAGAAGGGGATCTTAATGCTTCCATACTTAAAGTTAATAGTGGCTTGCCAGCCAAAAATAAATTCATTTAGAAATTAATACAGCAAAATTAGAATAAAAGATATCGGTTAAAAAACAAATTAAGTTGCATTAATTTACATGAATAAATTAGCAATACATTAATTTTAAAAAAAGAAAACATTGCAATAGAATATGATATTTATATGACATTTTATATTCGTCACAGTTGTTATGAAATCGGTGTGATAAAACTAATAAACTATCTTCTTGTTCTAAGAAGAGGCTATATCCAGCATTATGACAGTTACAGTTACAGACTAATATAAAATAATTAACTTTTTAAAAAAAATAAAACCGACTTCAAATGCGAGAACACAAAAAAAAAACTAAAAATTAAAAAATAATTCCTAATACCTATTACCTAATACTATAATTTTTCTAAACTATATCAAAGTAATTAAAGTTAAACCATCTAAATATCTTAAAATAGTTATACTTATATACCTACCTATTGTTTTTTGGAGTCGGTGCCAGTGCCAGCGTATTAAAGTTTACCCGCGAACTAGAGACGTGCGACGCGGTGGCGGGGGACGCATGGCGCGAGGCGGGGCCGCGCGGTGCGGCGGGGGACGCGGGCGCGTGCGGTCTTGCTCGAGTAAGCGACCCGAAGGCGGGCAGACGCTTGAGGGCAGACTACGTTGACGCTCGTGTCAAAAATACTGAATTTTCGGATGCGCAATATTTCAAATTATTGCTTTCTTTTTTGTTTGTTGTATTCTATTGTAGGATTTGTAGGTATTTGTTATTCTTTGTTGGTATAGGTTTAGTTGTACCAGGCTACATACAACTTATTTCTTAATATTTTTGTTTCATTGAGTACTTTTTCTTATTTCATTAGGTTTAATATTCATTTATTACTGGCACCGACTCCAAAAAACAATAGGTAGGTATATAAGTATAACTATTTTAAGATATTTAGATGGTTTAACTTTAATTACTTTGATATAGTTTAGAAAAATTATAGTATTAGGTAATAGGTATTAGGAATTATTTTTTAATTTTTAGTTTTTTTTTTGTGTTCTCGCATTTGAAGTCGGTTTTATTTTTTTAAAAAGTTAATTATTTTATTTTAAAATTTTTAGTGTTACTTTTTTGTAGATACCCTTAGTGCATTTAATATGGGTAGGCCTACTAAACGCGCAGCCTTAATGAGACAGCGCCGTTTGGAGGAAACAAAAGAAGAAAGGGAAGTGCGTTTAAAAGAAAGTAGAGAAAGAAATGCTAAAAAAAAATAATCGTTCAAATTGGTTCATAATTGGCGGAGATATTGCGTATAAAAAATTTCATCCCCAATTTTCCACCCTTGGGGGTGAAATATTTTCTTCAAATTCGCATGAAACCACCCTTTTGATAATACCTATTCAATAAAAAAATAATCGTTCAAATTGGTTTAAAATCGGCGGAGTTATTGCGTATAAATAAATTCATCCCCTATTTTCCACCCTTGGGGGTTGTTATTTTTATTAGTAAATTTAAATGGGACCAACCTTGAGGTATTACCTATACGCCGAAAAAAGAATTTTTCAAATCGGTTCATAATTGGCGGAGTAATCGCGTAACAAATATAGAAAAAAAAAAAAAAAAACATACGGGTCGAATTGAGAACCTCCTCCTTTTTTTGAAGTCGGTTGAAAATGAAACTAAACTATAACTCACTGCTCCAAAGCGCCTTTGAGTGTCTCCCAAATCTCCTTCTTCTGTCGATGATGAAGCTTCCTTCTCTTGTGGGCGCTGATCATCGTATGATCTGGCAGCATGTACACCAGTTCCGCTTCAACCACCACGAACCAACCTGATGGTACGTGGGTCATGAACGTTTTCACCACTGATGTAGTCACCTGGAAGGTGAAAAAAAAATGAGCTAAAGAAAAGAAGTTGTTTCTTTGATCGAACAGGCGTTAGTATTGGTTTAATATTTAATAGTGTGTCAACTATTTTAGTAGTAAGAATCTATGTGAGATTAAAAATAACTTTAAATCTGTTAAAAAAATGTTCGATAATTTAGGGTGGATAATTTGATATTTGTAGGAACACAGACGACCTGTTGATAGACTGCAGATAAGATGGATAGATGACATCAAAGAGGTGGCGGGGCTAAATTGAATACTAACAGCCCAAAACAGAACTAAGTGAAAAGATTTGAAGGGGGGCCTACACCAAATTGGTTGAAAAAGCCTTGAGATGATGGTAAGATGAATTTGTTTATTTGTATTTCTTGGGAATAAATATTTTGGTTTCTCTCTCTCGCAATTGGCTGCACCAGTTTTGATGTGGTTTTCAGATAGTGTTTATTTCATTTATGAGAAGGTTTAGAAGAAAAAGGGATAAAAGAGGGGTTTAAAGTTGGATTCTTTAAATGTACTTTAGGAATAAGTCGATTTGAAAACGATATACGTTCACCAATGTCAATTATAAACTTAAAAAGTAATATTTATCAATATAAGTAATGTGATAAAAAAGCATGTTACCGACATATAATTTGTTACATTACCATTGATGGCAGAGCTTTAATGAATTAACTGACTTAAACTGTCAAACACCAAGCGGTCACCGGTGACCGCGACCTATTGTTCTTTAATTGTGTCTATAAAACCGGTTCTCGACGAGTTAAAGCAACTAGTCGAAGCAACGTTAGTTACCCAGAAACTAAGTTTTAGTTCCAGAATGAAGTTCGAACGTAAGCAGATGGCGCTTCGTTAGACTTAAAGATTTGTACAATCTACGTTGCATGTTGGTTTAGAGATGTACCTACTCACTTATTTTTAAACTCATTAGGGTAACTATTATAATTATTTAGGAGCAGGCTGCAAAATTGTCATGTATTTAACAGACTTCAAAATAAAACAAGGTTCTCTGTTTAACCTGTTTGTTTGTATCTATATATGTTTGTATGTTTGTGCGCGACAATAGTAATAACATGCTTAGCTGTTAGAAAGAGAGTCCATACTTTTGTGAACATCTGTACACGAACACAAAATTATAATTTTGGTAATTAATTAATTATCAAACATTATCTAAACGGGGCTTATCTTGGAGACCCCCTGATCCCAGTAAAAACTAGCCAAGTCCAAGTCAATATTTGTAAAACTCCTATAAGTATTTGCTGTCTTATTAAATGACAGTTATCGTCTTTTTTTCGTGATTGCCTCTAATTTTAACACCATACTAGATACGTCAGCGCCTTATTAGTGTGTCGCTAATTACAGTACCGCAAATAAAGCGATAATCAGAAATCTAGGTAGATTAAATTGTGAAATGGATCAAACATGCTAATGCTGGATTCCATTTTAAGTTAATTAATATTATCACATTAGAAACAAGATATCTGCTGACCGATCAGATCTGATCAAATCGATCAACTATAGTTTTTTTATGCTCCTCTTATAATATCTTCAGACAGATATTCGTGTCTCCGGGACGAGCCGGACTTCAGTGTTGAGTTCAGTGTTTGGTTTTACAAGATTGTGGCAGGTTTGTCCCATAAAAAAATCCATTGCTGAATATAGGCAATTACATTCATCTTGGCTCGTTGACAATAACCTGAATGAATGCATCCAGCGCTTCTTTGCCACCTTTGTCAAGCCAGTGTCTCTTTGAGGAGTGGCTTGAGAGACGCTACGGCGTCCTCACCTACCACTTGACGCAGGTCCTCACCGGACATGGGAGCTTCCGGAGGTACCTGTATCTGATAGGGCGGGAGGAAACGCCCGGGTATAATCACTGCGATGACGCTTGGTATAGCTGATATGGTGTTATCACCGCGAGGACCGCCCTGAGGACACGGTGGAACAAAGTTGGGGAAAGCTCTGCACCGCCGTGCCCTCAGGAATGTGATCGGCGACAGCGACCCTAGTGCGGGTTAAGATGCGGAGCAAGGGGGACTGCAGCAGTCATGCTAGATAAGGAGGAGGCGGGGCGCATAAGGCGGCGAAGCGCTGCCTCCTCACAACCTAGCCGTCGCCGATCACATCCCTGAGGGCACGGCGGTGCTCAGCCCACGCAGGACATTCTCCAACTGTGTGTTCCACCGTGTCCTCAGGGCGGTCCTCGCGGTGATAACACCATATCAGCTATACCAAGCGTGATATTCATATAGTTTGTCATGATGACTTAGCTAAAATTTAAGTCAGCCATGTAGTGAAGTTAGAAATCATAAACAACTTTATTTATACTCCAAACACATAGCACATTGTTATTACTCTCACACAGACATCAATTCTACTGACTACGTGTAATTTAGGTACGTAATATGTACATACATAAAATAACCTCATGCCAGGCCATTTTTGGAAAGACCCACTCATCAAATATGCTTAGACTTACTTAATATCGAGTTACAAAAATATCTACAATGATTTACTTCTAACGAATGTCTGCAAAACTTTGATAAGCATAGGGTACCACCAGGTCAGATAGTGCCAGGGCCAGGCCAAACGTCGGGCCATCAAAAAAGGAGTTTGCAATTTCGAAATTCAAGGCTGCTGTGCTAATGTGCATGTGCATGTGCATGTGGATGCTTTGACACAAATGGGACGGCTCGATCTGAGTGATACCTTGGACTTACAGAAAATCGACGTGAAACAACGGTTGGGTTGTGTTTCGTCGTGTGAGTGAAGTTACCTGTGAAGGAGGCCCTTCCCCTTCCCGAATCCCTAAATCCCCAACAATCCCCAAATTGCTAATCCCAAAAGGCTGGTAACGCACTTGTAACGCCTCTGTTGTTCCAGGTGTCCATGAGCCACGCCGATTGCTTACCATCAGGTGATCCGTCTGCTCGTTTACCGGCTTAACCCAGAAAAAAGAAATTCTTTACAATAAGATACTTATCGTAACAATAAATATCAATGTAATTGCTTCCAATAGGCCTCACAATTTGCAACGGAGGATTGCAACGAAGCATGTAGGGTAACTACATGCTTCGTTGCAATCCTCCTCAGGTGCTCGCACGTCGCTTTATGCATAAACACATTACTGTATTACCCAAAGACCTTTTGCAAAATAGCTGAATGCAATAATTGCTAGAAAGGTAACACTAATCGCTTTTGTGTGTCTTATCAACAGCCTGTTTTCGTACACTGCTGGATATAAGCCTCTCCAATAGCATGCTACTGAGCTTGGCCTTCAGCTCTACGCATCCAACCACTGCCAGCCACTTTACGTATATCGTCACTCCACCTAGCTGGACGGCGCCCGACAGGCAAACGTATTGCCTAGACACGGTCTCCACTCCAGAACATGTCTATCCCAGCGGTCATCGGTTCTTCGACAAATGTGACCGGCCCACTGCCATTTTAGCTTGCTAATCCTTTGGGCTACATCGGTAACTTTAGTTCTCTGTCGATTCACCTCGTTACGGATTTGTGTCTATACGGTTTTTAAAAATCACATTGTTTTTAAACTATTTTTTTTGACCGTGCCGTTGTTAAAAATCTTACATCGTAATTTTTAAAATCCTGACTTAGAAATGAGCTTTCAACCTTAATCAGAATTGATAGAAAGTAAATATTTTTCCTTGAAATAGACATCTTATTTAAATCATACTCAATTCAAACCATAATTACTAAAATCAAAACGTTTATTACAGCTTAGAGAAAGTAAAAACTTTACGTACAGTTTGTTTCTTTGCTGTAGTTTCATCTATAGGATTTTGTATATTTTCCACTGAAATTGTCTTTATTTTAACCACATAGTTGTTCTTGGTATTTCAAAGCTTTGAGTTAACTACTAAATATTTTTTAACAACTGCCTAATTTGTGGTTGGCATAAAGTCTTAACTAGATTCTAACCAAAGGTTTCTGCGATAATGGATCATGGATCACTCGCGTGGTTGTTACGTGTTCGTGATCTACAAGTCTATAGCTTATTTATGGGTATAGAACATCCATACCTGATAAAATATAAAACAACATTGATAAAAAATCTAAATGAGTCGAGTCTTGCCTAGCAGAATCAAGTGCATTTGTTGTCACTATCCTATTCTTACATGCAAGTGTGAGTTGTGTGAGATCAAGCAGCACTCCCTGATCAATTCGAACCTTTTAAACTATGATCTGCAACTTGGTTTCCAGGCGTGGAGTTTATGGTAAGCCCATAGCCAAACAAGGCCTATGAGAAGACCTCATAAATATAATTGAACAAAACAATCTCGATATATTGCTCTGTGCAAATCATTTTGGTCAAAGATTTAATATTTCCTATTCCTTTTAATAAAAGACCGTACATTTTTGGAGTCGGCAGTACTTTTCAACCATTTATTGACTTTATAAACAACAACAACAACGAACAAACAAATATATTAATTTCCATTTTGTTCATATATACTTCATCTAAGCTTATTATTTAACTATTCTAAGCAGGTTACAATACAATGCCTGTATAGAATTAAATCTATACCACAGGCTTCACGGTTACGTGCATTATACTATTAGGATAATACCTCTATAACTAAGCCCTTAACTTTAAAGCAACCCTGAATTTTTGAACAATGTCTACTTATAAAAAAGAAAGCAGATAAATGAATTTGATAACTATATGTTTACAACAATACCAGCAGTACTAAAAAACCTCTCACTAACAAAATACTCATTTGAAGTAAAGTATAGGAGACACAAGAATTATAATAAAATTACGCAATTAGAGGCAACAACACAAATCACTGACTATTTCTTTAAAATACACATTGTTGTAAGGTTTATGATAAAAGTCAATAGCTACTTCGTATAGGATATATTTAAGATATTTTTTCTATAAATTCATGAATATCAATCTTAACTAGCAATAAATAGACCCCAGATAAATTAATTAATTGCAGATTAAAAGTTTGTTACGTTTGAAATCCAACAAAACCATTATATTCTACCGTAATCGTATATTTTCTTGTTTTATTTTAATTAATTTTGAAAATACTCACCGAGGCAGCAGATCCCGGAGGAAAAGCAAGATGGCGTCTCTTCCTCACAGAAACCAGCGAAGTTTTTATATTAGGACATTCCTTTGTCGAATTCACTGAAGACGCACTCGAAATGTGGCCTATTAAAATTAATATTACCAACAAAAAATATGACTGGATATCCATTTCAGAATAAAACTTAGATTATTTGAAAAAGAAGTTTGAAAAAGAAGTCTAAATGTAAGTCTGTCTTGATCAGATTTAATCCAAAAAATTTAAAAGTCTACAGTCCCTGTAGATTTAATTGCAGAATAATTGTCAATATTTGATCTATTTATTTAGAAATTTATCTATTTCCGCGTGTATAGGTATATATCGTGCGGCTAGGCTCAACCAGATGCCTTCTAATAATAGTCGGTAATAAGTTATATGTATCAGAACATGACGTGTGTTTTTTTTTCAATACGTTTTCACACATTGCACACATTGAACGTACGGGATAACTACGTGATGGCTTAGTATGGGTATATTTGGGGACAGTTTAACAAAGTTCGTGAACCCAGTGGCGTTTAGAAGAAATCTTGCAGCTATTTTTAGCACTATGTCTTTTTTGTGAATCAATTATTGTTGAGAGTATTTTTAGTTGTTGTCCATTTTATTCATTTTTGAAGTTGGAAGTTGGAACTATTAAATAATGTTGGTAAGGATATCAAGAGCCGTTTTAAGAGGAGGTAACAAGTTTTATAATATCTTATTCTAAATGTTTACAGGATTTCACCATTTAGTTACCTGGAACGGACGATGGGAAGTTCCCCATTATGTATTAAGTTTATTACGTCATAGGTCCAAATGCAGCAGTTATTCTAGTTAGAGGACTCTAGCTCAGCATTCTACCCAAAGAAATATATTCTTCTTTAAGTGTCTCTAATTTGGTTGGTCTTATTTAAAAGACAAAAGTTACTGCAGGGTAAGAGAAATGAAGTTAGGTTCTCTATAGGATCTCTATTTCAGTTTTAGTTCGGGTTTGACATAATTCTTCTTTTTTAAATCTTTTTTTCTTCAATCCATCCCCATCATATAGATGATTGGCAGACCACAACTGTGTGCTTTTCTTGTATCTTTCTGCCTCACACAGCAAAACAGTGGAATGATCTGTCGTCAGCGGTATTTCCGAACCGATACGACCTTCAAACCTTCAAGAAAAGAGCGCATTCCTTTTTAAAAGGCCGGCAACGCACCTATGACTCTTCTGGTGTTGCGAGTGTGGATGGGCGGCGCTGATTGCTTACTATCCATCCATATGCTCGTTTATCTCCTATTCCATAAAAAAAAAATGTTAACTTGCTGGAGTAAGTATCAAGAATAAAATAATTGAGAGTAGTCTCGGGAAAATAAGTAACAGTTACTTGTTTTTATTTCTTAGTGTACTTTTATCTGCAAATGTAAGCTAAATCGAACCAATAGGATTAATTCGCGCCTTGAACGTGGTTTAAATATAGCAATCCGATTGGTCGACTTAAAACATACCATTCAGAGGCGAAATGGTATGACGACCTTTTATGGAAGGCACTAACTTTTTATCCGGATATAGATTCTGATTATTTTATGGCATTACTGTATTATTTGACTCATTGTAATTTGTTAATACACCAATGATAAATTACAATGACTTGCAATTTTTTTTCTACATTTTACTTTTTTCTGTTTTCCCTTAATGTTCCTCAGTCTTTGTCAGAGCTTTTGCTTTTGAGCTGTCTTTTCTGGGTTTTTTTTTTAATGGATGAAAATCATCAAATAACTTCTCCCGTCTGGGGAGGGAGTGTCAAACTCTTACCGACTAAAAACCACCCCATTCCTACTCCTGCACTTGGAGCCGGAGCCCCGGTAACCCGTTAAGTTCGCCGCGGAAATATGGAGCCATATTGGCATCAGCCCTATTGACATCAACACAGATGCCTGCCTACCCTTCTGTGTTGGTCTGATGGCTCTTTGAGGTGCACGCTCGAGTCTGGTTCGGGTCGGACGGCTTACGGTGGCGGGAGATTGTCCCGCGATCCCCGACGCCCGGAGTGTCCTTCGCGAGTCTGTTCTAGGATGGTTGAAGATTTGAAAACCTCTAATAAAAAACTAACGCCAGGATACTGAAAGGCTACTCTATTTTATGTTGTACTTAAATATCCCGCTGTCTCTGTCATTTTACAAAGAAATTGTAGTGACAGAACTATACATAAATGCGATTTAAAATTGAGTGCCATTGAGTATTCGAGTATAAATACATCAAATAATTATTTATCTCATAGCCTATGTAGTTGATAATTAAAGATGACGTGAACTATTCCTTAGTAGTGATTTTATCCCGAGCGTGCAGCGCATCACGTTACACGCGCGCTTTAAGGAGCCATCAGACGACCACAGATGGGGCCCAATAGGGCTGATGCCGACACGGAGCCGTGAAGGGATTAACGGGTTGTCGGGGCTCCGGTTCGAAGAGCAGAAGTAGGAAGGTGTGGTTTTTAGTTAGTAAGAGTCTGACACTTCCTCTCCCATCACCCGGGTAGGAGAAGGCATTGGATGATTTTCCCCGCTTAAAAAAAAGTAGTGATTTTGTTCTGAAAACAATTGCTAACGACTGGGATTAACTCTGAGTACGGTGGTTAAAGGTTAAAGTTACTAGGAATACTGCAAGGCAACTAGTCTTAGGTTTACACAACTACCACTTATAGAATGTAGACTAGACTGTTTATTAAGACTCGGGCATATTTGCACAATCACCGTAGTCTGTCTATACCTTTTTCATTCATATTTTAGACAACAAACAAATAACTTGGAGATGGGACTGTTATTTTTTTCTCATTTTAATTTCTTGATAATATTGTCTAGACAATGTGTTTACGTGTTTGTTTTTGTTTGTGTGATTGTTATTATAGAAGATAAAAAATGGAAAATAAATTTAAATTGTGTATACTGGCTTTATCTGTATGTTCTGATTATCCTTTATTTTTTGGGAGTCAGTAATTGTTCCTAATTAAGAAGTATGTAAGAAACAATAAGAAGGCTTTATCAGCTAATAACTATTAGACCAATAATATTACATACAGCACTGCCATACTTCTCAATGACTGAAACCCAAAACGTCGTAACTACACCATTACGCATCAACCAAAAATTACTCTTAAAGAAGTTTAAACAAAAAATTTTAAAAAAGAAAATCGCGTGCAAACCTTATCTATACAAAGATAACGTAGAATGTGATTCGTGCGCGCTTCCAACTTGTTCACTGACCCGGGATGTTGGATCAAAGAATTAGAGCCTCGCCTACCCTCATTAGCTCAGTCACGAGTCACACCTCCTTGGAATCCGAATGTTATGCTACCGCAAAATGAACCCTAACATTCCAACTCTACAGGCCATTTTAAATCTAGCATTTTTTCACTATCGTCATCAACCACAAAGTTACGCGTGAATGGGACTAGTATTTAAAGTTGGTGTAATAGGTTCATATCGTTGACTTTAAATTACAGCTAGACACTAGACAGGTTTAACGTTGCGTCGTCCTGTCTGATATTCTGATTACTTCGTTATTACTAACTAGTTATAGTTATGCAATTTTTGTATCGTGATTATTACGTCATGTTTAAGTTGGTCAAAGTCCCTTGATTACGCAATCTTTATATTGTAAAAGATATCTCTTTTATTCATAATATTATGGTCTTAAGATTTTTCAGTAATAAATATTACTCAACACACTTAAACAAAATGTTTGATTAGCCTAAAGAAATTAATATAGGTACTCAGATATTCATCTTAGAAAATTAATTAATTAAGTCAATTGAGTAAATGTCTTTCCTATGCACACCACCAGAGAAAATTGGAAATGTTAATATTCACTAAACCATTCACTAAAAATTTTTGAAAATCACCAGCCGATAGTGGTCAAACATCGGCCCATAAAACATGTATAAAAGAGAGCAGTGGTACATAACATTAAGAATAAAAATAAAAACAATAATAACATTCAACTGTAAGCATTTTTATTCAAACGTAAAATAATTTCCAATAGTGAAATGGGGCAGTCGTGGATTCTTTCACAAACATTTGGTTCCAATAGTTCGTTATAAGTTTCATTAACTTCGTCCTTAAATCCTTCTTCGTGAACTGGGGCACTTGAAACAAAACGAACACTTTTATATTATTGGTTTAACAAAGTTTTCTTACCAACGATAACGCCAATAATTTTTATCCTTTAAGTAGGTAGTAGTTTAACCTACCAAAAGAAAGTACCAATGTGAGTTTTTCCGAGTTATATGTCCTTTCTAAGATTATTTAGACACCACTGACAAACGGTGAAAGAAAACATCATGAGGAAACTTGAGCTTATAATTTCTAATTATTAGTTTGAAATTGCCAACCCGCATTGAGCAAGCGTGGTGACTAATGCTCAAACCTTCTCCGTATGAGAAGAGGCTTTGCTCAGCAGTGAGCATTTATAGGCTGTTGATGATGAAAGCTGAAGATTAAATAATACTTAAGGTCGAATTAGCTTAACGCCCGAATACTGAAAGGCTTTTAACTGGCGCTTACTCAAGTAGTTTTGTCACTACAAATTCCTTGTAAAATGACAGAGACGGCACGATATTTAACTACAAGTTAAAATCTTGTAGTCTTTCGGTATTCGACCGTAAGTGTTGCAGCAATAGGCTGAGCACTGGCCTTTTTGAACCGTGTTTACTGTTCTGCTCTTAAAACAATTTTACTTGCATTTTTGTAAGTCTTTCTCATTTCCACAACAGATTAGATTCCGAAAAACATAACATCAATAATTCTTTCATAAGCTACGTTAAAAAAAAACGACTTTAATACCTTTTTTTAAACACAATCCAATCGCGAGATAATCTCGAACACACAGTTGAAACTGAGAACCTCCTTCATTTGTTGAAGTCGGTTAAATACAGCTATCATAGAATGTTGTACCAAGTCTTTCGACGATGCTTCACAAACATTTCTAAAGAATCAACTAAAGAATTGAAAAGACAAAAACTTACAAGAATATCGCCCTTAAAATGTCATGCACCAAAGACTTTCCCGGTGGAGCCAAATGTGTTTTAGCTTCACATATGCTTCGATAAATACAGGAGCGACCGTTCAAGTTGTAACTGCAAAACAAAATGATTTACTGAACACTTGTTACGGAAAACTTAGTGTTGTGGAAGAATTTTCTCACAAATAAGCGTTATGGTTTAATGCTCATAGGGTTCTTAAGAGAACAAATAATGGGGAAGATTAATAATACATTGATGATAGATGATTAACAAAAATTAAAGTGTTTCTTGAGACACTTGAATAATTAAATAGACTACATGGAAGTGATTAAAATTTTGTAGGGCACTATACATTCACTTTGAAAGAAGTAAATTATGTTAGACAAAAATTTCTATGTCCTGTCTGGAAGTCATTAACAGAGCTTCGACCTATATTCCGTATTAGATTTTTTTTTTTATAAAACCAATATCAATCAGAACCTTAAACTCCATACCAATACTTTCGAATGCAAAGTAATAGTTTAAAGTTAATTCTTTTATAGAAAACTACGTTTAAAAGACTTCAACCTCCTCTTTCTTTGAAGTTGGTTAATTAATATACTAAAACCTACTCCGAAATAAACACTTTTTGAAAACCGCATCAAAATCAGTTCAACCAACGCGACGTAATTGTGCACAGACATACATCCATACATAAGGTAGAACTGAAAATCTTTTTATTAAAGTTGGTTAAAAATTGTCTTTACCTTTCAAGAGCATTTTGCATCTTCTCCCAAAATTCTCTCTTCTGTCTATGGTGAAGCTTCTTCCTGAATAAAGCATTTGTCACTTCTGGGCTCAGCAGTGGGTAGATGACATCGATTTCAACTGCAACATTCCAGCCTGATGGAGCGTGCACCATTATTGCTTTTAGCACCGACATCGTCAACTGAAAAAAGAAGACTATTTCAGGCGACTGTTTGGAAAGAGAACAAAAGAGAAGACATATTCTAGGTTTAAAAAAGTCCGTATCGTTCCTGGATTGGAGAAAGAAGAGTATAGAAGAAGCAATTGTCAGTTTTAGGGACAAAAGAATATTAGATTTCTAACATACATCTTATAAATGAATTCATTAACATTAACTACGATACAAGTATATCTTTTATTCATACATTGTGAAGACCAGATTCTAGGTAACATTTCCATTACCCCAGTTAAGCCTGAAATTATAATATATCATAACGAAGACTGGGAAATGAGGTTTTATAATAACTTAAGGATTTCTGCATTTTAACCTGAGTAAGTTGTTTGAAGTTGGTGTTAATTGTCGTGGAATGAAGTCAACTTGTGGTCTGTTTTGTGTACTTATCTTGGTGACTTACGATCGAATACTGAAAGGTTACTAAATTTTATGCTGTACTTAAACATCGCGCCATTTGTGTAATTTTACAAAAAAACTGTAGTGACAGAACTATACGTACCTACGGGGTTTGTTTAGGATTTTAAAAATAAGTTATTTTATGTAACACAGTACTTTAATCTAAGGTTACATTTCTATAAGACTAACTGGTGCATACGTAAACGTAATGTTGTAATTTACCATTTGAATCTGCTACGCTAACAACAGCTTATTCGGACACAAAATTTTACGTAATGTACTCATAATTGCAAGAAAAGCATAATTAAGCGGTTACTATGCACCTACGATTATGTCCACTTTGGCATTAATAGTGTAATCGTTACAGCAAGATTAGACGTATTGTTTTTTTTTGAGGGGGGGGCATCATTATACTGCGATTTCTCTCACGCGGGTGAGGCGAGAGGGATTTTTAGACCCTTACCTACTGACTAAAAATCACCCCGTTCTTACTAATGCACTTTGAACCGGAGCCCCGGTAACCCGTTAAGACCTCCACGGTAGACGTACTGCTAACCTTTATTTCACGATGAACTATGATTTTAAGACTGAAATCACTTAACATGTTGACATTGCAGAATTTTTACATAACATGCATTGATAAATTTCTAAACAAACACATTATCAGTACTTACAACCATAGCAGTTCCTTCAGGGAAGGTCAAATGCCTCCTCTTTCTCAAGCCATTCAATGGAGCCCTCACATTATCACAGCCTTTCCTAGCATTCACACCAAACAATTCACTCACTAGGAAAACTATCACCAAGTATTGTACATTCATATTCTACCTTCAAAGAGGACAACTAAAGGTTTAAACAATACGTAACACATTTGTACTGGCATTCACGTGACAAAAGATGGCGTCATATGGACTGTCCGGACCACTTAAGATTATTTTTTCTCTATTTTTTGTTAGCCCAAACTGTTGTTTGAAATATGACTGAAGTCAAAATCAATTTGCTGTTCAAAATTCGTAATAGGCATGTGACTTTTAAGTACATTGACCTCTGTGTTTTTTAAGTTTACCTGTTGTCTATTTATTATCTGTTTAGCATGCCATGGTACGAACGTCTGCCTTAACTTGGAGACCTACATTTATATCGGTGTAAACTAGTTTGAGCTAGATCAGTGCTTAACAAAGATTAATATGTATAATTATTTGTGTATACAGAATTATGCTAAATACGTTGCTAAGTGCAACGCCCGAGGATGTCTGTACCTACCTGTTCAGTTGACGCCTGATTGCAAATTAATATTTCTTCATACCTTGTAAAGTTATGTATCATAATAAAAAGGAAAGGTGTTTGCTGTTAACATAAAAAAAAAATGTTTTTTGACACAACTGTTAATGACTTTCACTTATCAAACCCCTCTTTTGAATGTATATCAATGACGTCATAGTTCATAACAGACCTTTTTCTATAACTGAAGAGTTCTACTTCGGATTCATATCACAGTTCACCGGTCACACCTCGTCCATACTAACCTAATGTTTGTATGCAGTGCGTGGTGCGTGGTTGTCAAGTTCAGTGTCGGTTTAAATAATTAGAGTACGTCTGTGACTCTGCACTTTTGGAAGTCCATTGTTATGCAATTTTTTTTAATAGTTAAAGGCAACAAACGAGCAGACGGATTACCTGATGAAAAGCAATTAGCGTCACCACAGACATCTGCGATTCCACGGGAATTACAGGTCCGTTACTGGTCTTTTTGGGATAGGGATTTTAGGATTTGGGTATTAGGAAGGGGCGGAATCGGGCCATGAAGCGCAGTACATAAGCGTTGCATGCATCTCTCTCATCAGGCTCTCTCGAACACGTAAAATATTATTAAAATGTTGTATAATAACATTGACGTTGGTTCATAATTTGTAGGTTCAAGCTTTGGTTCATAAAGGGTGATTTAGTATAGACTAATAAATTAAATGTTTGGGTATTATACTGAATTGTGATGACTGACTCTTTAGCTACTACTAAACTACTAGTAGCTACTGCTACTACTATGAGCAAAGATCTGAATTCTATTAACATTTTAATCTTGAAATTCTGGTGGGGTTTCGAAAAGGTTTTCACTGCTTTGGACCTATACAGGATATAACAATATAGATAATTGCATATATGCATATTGCTTATCTTATTCAGAAAAATAAATATTACAAGTCCTATTAGGCAAAATAATAAATGAACTCAACGTTTTACCAATCAAACCAATTTTATTTCAATAAAAAATAAATAACTGCAAATAACAAAAAATATTATATTAAATATTTTCCAAACAATACAGACATCAATTTACTTTATATTTCGAATTGGAATGTAAGAATAACACCCATATTTTACACGCACACACATACATCAATGTAAAAACACACATAACCAACTCCAATTTCAACATAAACCAATAAAAGGAAAAATAAACAATACATCCATTAATTTTATTGGCAATACAAAATAAACAATAACATTTTTATTGTATCATCCGTATTACTCCATAGGAATGGCTTCACATTTCGGGTACAGTTCAGAACAGTCTCCATTAGACCCTGGGGCATCATGATAGTGCTTATGAACTTCGGACATGGTGTCAAGGACTTTTGGTAATCTGAAATTATGTTCCAAGTTTAGCACACAAGGAAATACCGAGTACATCGTCTGGCTATTAGTGTACAGAATTCTATGAGCTCAAAGTTTGTGGTGTTGTAGACTAAGGACTGTGTTGTTTAAATGTTGGATTTGTAAAGTGATTTAGTTCGAGTCACATTTTATAAGAATATTCTTTTGTTATTGCTTTGTAAGCTCTTTTTGAAATATCGACAATGCATTGAAATAGTATGTAATTATTGTTGCTTCTGGTAGGACTGTGAGGAAGCGAAAAAGGTATGTAAAAATCGTAATAATTGGCGTCCACTTTAAATTTAATATGTATGTATGTACTACCTTGAAAATTATAAAGTTTGATTTAGTTTGAATTGTCAATGGTAGCAAAATAACGGAACCATTCCAAAATGATGCAACACAGAAAATCGATTATTATTTATGTAGAGACCAAGTTTTACATTACTATATTCACGTTTTCTGTTAAAACCAGTTCACTTCTCAAAGTGGCCCTCATACACTATAAATCTTCAATCCACTACTAAACAGGTTCCTTTCTTTGACCATTACCCACGACAATATTAAATTACCACCTCTAACCAAATTAGTCCATGAACTCCTTTAACTAATTATACTCTTACGTAAACACAGCCCGTAGAATCTCCCCTACAAACGATGCTTGTTTGCTTTTCCGCTTCCCTGTCACACACAGCATTTTCAAGATGCACTCTTTGCCGTTCCAACCTAACCTGGGAAAATAATGACACTATGTAATTATTTGCATATCTTAAAAGGGATAAAATCCTGATGAAATAGAGAAAATAACTGGTAATATAAATAGGTTCAACTTTGTATGAAATAAGCGACAAAGGAACAGTCTGGGACTGCACTTTTGGCAGCCATCGGTTACCATCAGGTGATGAGGTTAAGAGTAAGAGAACCGTGCATGGGTACGAATGGGCCGGCTGAACCGGAGTGATACCACGGCCGCACAGAAAACCGACGTGAAACAACGCTTGCATGGTGTTTCGTCGTGTGAGTAAGGTTTCCGGAGGCCCAATCTCCCCAATGCTTGAATCTCCAACAACCCTCAAATTCCTAATCCCCAAAAGGCCGGTAACGTACTTATAACACCTCTGGTATTCCGGATGTACAATGTAATACATACATACATGGGCGATGTCGATTGCTTACCATTGGGTTATCCGACTGCTCGTTTACTGGCTCATCCCATAAAAAACTGGGTCACCTTATGGTAATCTATAGATGCCCACAACACCAGAGGAGTAGTAAATTCGTCGCCAGCTATTTAAATTAACACTATCATATCATACAACATACCTATTAATACAACCATAAAATTTTACAGGTAAATAGACAAATTATCACATTGCGGATTTTCACATAAAACGAAGGAAGATAGTTAAAAATATTAAAAAGTTTCGAAGCAAATAAATCCCGTCTTACATTTATGAATGCTACTTACGTTTGCAAAAACTTTTCCAGTTTTGCATAAATTTTCTGTCTCTCAGTTCTATGGTGCTCAATTCTTGTTGCATCTAAATTTTCGAAGAGCATTTTATTTTTCTGCAAGTTATGCATTTCCTTTATATTGAACTTTTTGATGTTGCTTTTATTTCTTTCCGCTGTATCGACACTTCTCTTTGCTAAAGCTGGGTTGATTAAGATTTTCCTGTTGATGAAAATTTTGGATTATTAATAGTTCTTTGAGATTTATTATTTTGTTACTTATTGCGTTTAGTGGTGTTTTCCATTTTGATACTTGTAATAATTGTAGGATGTTTGTAAATCACATTAATCTCTTCTACTATTACAATGGCTTAATCAAAATAACTAACTCGTGTAGACATTATATTTGCAATGCAACCTCATATTTACATATTTCACAACTTGAAAAGAATTTAAAAAATTAGTCAAATATATCAGTTATGTAATAAAATTACCTTTTATACTCAACCTTATCAACAACCCTGCCATCTTCATCAACATAATACAGAATATCGTGTCTTCTTTGACCTTGATAGGCCTTAAGATCCTTGAACATGTCGAAGGCTCCAGGGTCTGTCGGCAGTTCCCAGGCCAAAGCTGCTGTAGTACCAAACCATACGATATTCCCCAGTTGTAGGTAACCGTGGTTTTGTGTGCAGAATACTAAAAAAAATAGTAGTAATTTGTAGTTACCTACATACATATTAAGTAAATTTGGGCACCATATCGAGTATCGGTATTACCTAAAGATAAAATGTACGAAGAAAGATCTATTATAGGTTCTATTTTTGAGAATTTTCTGGAACCTAGGTATCAAAACCAAAACCGAGAAATACACAGTCGGGATCGAAGATATATTATTAGTATCCATATTAGTTTTTACTCACCTATTTGAAAAGAGCTGCCATCAGGAAAAATCAAGAACCTTTTCCTTCTTGACAATAATTTGGTTGGTTGCAATCCTTCTGACGATGTTATATTTGCTTTGATTTCAAAAGAGATTAAGTTTATTAGAACTAATAAAGCGAATGGTTTCATATTTGCCTGGGAAAAGAACGCAAAAATCGTTGTTACTTACTCATACCATGACTGACAAAAATATAAAGTAATTAAGAAATAAATAGGTATACATGATTAGATCAGTCATTTAAGTTAAAATTGATTGTCAACCAAAAGACTAAACTCGAATTTGTCTTCACAGTGTTTTTTTAGCCACATTTACTCATTTAACCGGTAAATAAACTTAATTAAGATTATATACTTACAACGGTACAACTCTTCAAAGAATGTTACCCTTTTCAAATTCCAAGAAACGACTGGCATGCATACTGAAACAATGGGCCCACGTACTTAGCATATTTGCATAAAATTTCAACCTTTGTGCAAATAACGACAAATTGTTTTTGAGAAACATGCTAATGAAAAGTAGCAAGGAGTATATAATCTGACCCTTATTTTGAATATTGTTCGTCGGTTTGTGTGTTTTTTGGTTTATTAAAAATTATATAAAACTACCAAAAAAATGATTTTTGACGTAGTTTAGTTATATATAGAAAACAAAACCAATGGATTACTAATGGCCTGTTTCATAAAATCTGGATAGCCACTATGTACCAGATTTGAATATATGTATTTTCGTAATTATACGTTAATTTACAAATTATAACTTTCTCATATAGAATTAAGTAATATAAAAATAAGAACCTT